AGTCAAAATGATCTTTACACCTGCGGTTACGACATGAAAGCGTAACAAGATTTTCAATGAGTTGTTTGTAAGGCTACCAGATTATCCTATAAACAAATCCAGAACAACAAAACAAAGAAACACCCTAACTAAACAAAAACAAAGAAACATTTTTACTTTGAACGAAAACTGTTTAATAAACCGACTCATTGCTCACTGTTTGGTCGTCTTGAAGCATTTTATTTCTTTTTTTAGTAAAATTCATCATTCAACACAAAGTAGTTATTAACTTTAAACCACCATCCTTTGATCATTTTTTCTTAGCGTGTCTCTCAGTAGAAGTCCTCTGGAGCAACTGGAAGCTGAGAAAGAGGAACGAGAAATGAAACTGAAGAAAATGGAACAGGAAATGGAGCAAGTGTTCGAAATGAAAGTCAAGGAAAAGAAAAAGAAGCTCAAAGATTCTGAGGCGGAGGTGAGTTGGACAGTGAGTGAGCATTGAGGTGAACATGAACAGCTAAGGCTGACATTGATTCTTTAAATCCCAGGGGTGACTTGGACAGAATTTTTACGCGTAATGTCAATTAAATATGTAGAAGACAAGCGATAATGAACAAAATATCAACTGGGGATTATTATTTGATTCAACACCAATTTCTCAGAGTTATCTTCATGACAAGTGAACCATGGTTAGAGTTATCATTAGAGCAATTTTCAGTGGAGTGTTGAAAGCAATCAGGGATTGCTTTGGACTAGCGTCGCCATGAGCTGTGAATGGTATAGAAACTTGTGCTTTCCCCTCTATCATTATCGATCAAAGAGCGCTTTCTATTGATTATCGTAAAACCCGGCTAAACCAAAATAATCACCACAGGCATTCAGAAGAAAGGAAAATACCTTGAAGAGCCAATGGCAACTCGAAGTAAAAATAACAAACTGGCTAAAGCGCGGGAATACGCGGGCGACCAAGTCGTGATTAGTTTTAGTTTCGGTTCTGATTGTTTGAGAAAGTTGCCCGAATTTTCTTGACCAATCACAAAGCGAAGCACGGTACCACCCCTGCTATGTTGGATTACTTTGGACACTGTTTTAAACTCTGAACTCTTTTTGGTCTCATGCGACACTTAGCTTCGTTGTAATCGCTCTTTTGTATTTAGAAAAGAATTCAGTACGAACATTTTTTTAACAGCTTGGCAAGAAAAACGAACAGATGTGGAAACAGCTCGACCAGCAGAACAAGGAGCTAGAGGAAAAACGAAAACAGTTCGAGAGGGAGAGGGGACACTACGAGGAAGAACTGAAAAGTAATGGCCTGAAGGGTCTGGAACGGTCTGACTCCTCCAGCAAATCACTCAAGTAGGTGTATTCCTTTACAAACACACGCGGCCTTGGTTTGTAATAGAACAAGAGGTGTCCTAAATACCCAGTTTACAATGGACATTGTTAAGAAAATTGCTGTCGGAAGTAGTTTGTTTGTTTGTTTTTCGGAGTTTTTTGGGAGTGATTTGTAGTAAAGTGACCCTTCTTCTAAAAGGCGGACTGAAAGTGAAATCTTTTCGGTATTAAACAACTGCACACAGGAAGTGTAGACCAGTTTCTAGAAAAACATTCTTGCAAGTTTCATTGCCTACGTGATTTTTCAGGCAGAAAATTTCCTTCTATTCTGGACCTTCAGTCCAACAATCGTCCATAAATATCGATATTATTGGAGTTTCAAACCAGTTGCATTGATTTGAAATATTTCCTCGTGCTATTTGAACCATGCGAGAGGGTGGATGGGAATTAAAATATTTAGGTCAATTTGTCAACAATTCTTTCGCCAAATAACCTTTATGCATGATTACGTTTTACCCTAAGCCTTTTTTGCTCCACATCCCTCTTTTGCCTGTCATCTTGTTCTTGGTTATACGTGGGTATTCTTTGGATATCATTGCTTTTGCAATACGTTCCGCACCAAGAAAGCGAGGCTTAGGTACACGTTACGTAACTTTGCATGAGGCTATGTGGGTCTTTCGCTCGTCTGTCTGTAAGGTTAGATGAGATTTTGTAGGATCTGATTAATAGTGCTGGAAGAAACTGTGGTTTGCTCATGTTTTTTTGTTTGGAGTATGTGTCGCTTGTTTTTTGTCTGTATATGCTTATTTAGCAGCTGCAAGTAATGAAGTTGGCATTAACGTTGGCGTTGGCTCACCCAATCCTCCCCTAACTTATCAATTGGTTCTTGTAAAAGCGATTTCGCTCCCGCTTAGTTATGCTGTGTTGGTCATTGTTAAAGTAAAAAGCCTTTCTTGAAGTCAGTTTTCATTTTTGTGTGTTCTCAGACATCTTATGTTAGCCTGGTGGAACTCTTGGAGCGCTTTTCGATGAAGTGCAAACTCGTAATCACATTTGCTTTGAATCCTAATTGGTCAAAGACGTTCGAGTTACCTTCTCAATTGACCAGATTGTATTGGTTCTTCTTTGAGATCGGTTTAGAAAACTCGTGCTAGTCTCTGAACCAATCACATGCAAAACTAGAACCAATCACAACTCGGAATTAGTTTCACGCGCTAGAAGTAGTTTTTGACTTTTAAGCCTGAGTTTCCATTGGCCCCTTTTGAAATTTCACTTTGTTGTCTTTGGCTCCGCTGCTATCGCCTAACAACACTTCGAAATGCGCTTTAAATCGGTACACCCTAAGGAATTTCCTATTTCTTTTTTTGTCTACAATGTTTGCTGTAAAGCAGTCTCAGATAATTTTTAGCGCTTTAGTCTGTGCAGTTCCGCCTTTTTGCCGGTAAGTGCTGTCGTGCTAACGCTTTGTAGTGTCTAAGTGTTCAACTTATTGCGCCCGAAACGTTTAATTACATAAATGGTCTCCTAAATTATGCTATGTTTAAAGCTGAGTTGCTTAATATAGTTAGCAGTAAAGGGGAAAAACGCCCAAAATAAATATGGGTTTAAAAGCTGTGCATTAAATGGTCATTTAAAGGTTGCTTAACATTCATAACGCGTGTGTTCATTAACACAGTGATTGACTGTCGCCATGTATGTAGCATACTGTCTTATATCCTAAACCATGAAATAAATAGCTATTTCACGGCTTCCAATCACAACCTCCCGTGAGCTTTCCGTCCGCGCTCACTCTGTAGCCATGAATCATGTATAGCAATAATGACGTGATCATTTGTTTACACAGAGAAAACCATCGCGCTCTTTTCCATGGAGCATTGTGTTTCCCAAAGGCATAAATCTAGAATCAACCAGGTACTGACCTTTTTTTTTATAGTCATGAGTCACAATAAAATGGTTGCTTTCTACTATAAAAATACTTATTCTTGTTCAGCAATATAAAGTCCGCTGAGCTAACTACCCTTAAAGCAATAAATTTAACTTTGCCAAATAAAGCATTTAAAAACCGTAGTTAGGTGCATGAAGTAATACCTTAAAAAAAAAAAAAAAGTTGAGTTGTGAAGTGCACTTAATATCTCAAATCCAGATGGGTCGCCTCATGCTATTTTACGAATTAAATAAGCAGTTTCATGATTGACTAAACCTAAAGCAAATCTTAAACAATTCAGAGTTCATACCTCGCCAAGAACAAAAGCTAACTTAAGATGTCTGAGCAGCCCCGAAATGCATTTGGCAACTGTGCCTGTTATCACTTGATTTTCTCGTATTCGATCGGAGTTGTTAATTCTATGCAACAGAAAGTCAACGTTTTCCGTCGACACCAGAACTAAACAGTAATTTTGAATATAAAGACCTAATTGTACATTGTTCTTAACCACGTGACAAGTGGCCAAATTTTTCATTTTAAGGCAAAGGTTTTTTCCCTTGAAGATTTTATCTTATGTAGGATCTGTGGAAGCTCTTGGAGATTTGCGTTTCGCCCCTCCCCTCCCAACCCTACCATTTATTATTTCACGTGCATGTTTGCTAGTCCCACCTCAACCTGCGGTAATTCTGCTAGGGAGCATTTGTTATCCTGGGGGTGAAACTGCCTCCTATCCTGCAACTCGATCTTGTTGAGTAAAATTGCTTCTCCGAACCCAGTTAGTCGGAGCACGTTCGAATCCTTACCGGAAGGCAACTGAAACACTTCGTATGAAGTTCTCGTCTAATTTCGAAGAAACCGGTTTTGAATTTTGTCTTGAACCCTGGCTAGGGGATTGAAAAAATTGTGTTCATCTTTTATTTCAGAGTGTCGGGAATACCTCACCGTTTCTCTCGCATCTGTTAGTAACTAATATTCATGCTTTCTACGTTTATGGTGCACAAGCACGCTCGAGTTTTGCGCTAAACACTATCACCCATTTCGAAATAATATTGTCGTTAAAAAGCATTTCACTTTACTCTGGCACGCATTACACGCAATACTAAAAAAGAGAGAGGTAACTGCGTTTCTGAATCTTCTAGTTAGCGTCGAAAACAACTTATGAAAAAGTTCTCAAAGAGAAAAATTGTTAGTAGATATTCAAAGTCCATAGAAGTATAAACAAGTTAGTATGGAAATTTGATGTAATTTTTTACGATCGAGTACATAGTATCGAGATTGATAACATACGACTGATCAAATCAAGCCACGAGGTTGCAAATGTTTATATATGTTTTAAAAAAATTCGTTTTGCTGCGCAAATGAATAGCAGAACGATGGCGTGAACCTGTTGAAATAATTAGTTATGGAAGACAATGGATACAGCTAATGCTTATGTGCTTATTTCCACACTAACAGGTCAGTAGATGGTCTGGTGAAAGAAAAAGAAAAAGATGGCAAGAAAAAAGAGAAGAGAAAGGGTTTCTTTTAAATGAGTTTTCACCCCAGAGAAGACTGCAACACGATAGGATTAGATTGTTATGAACACTTCATCGACATATTTGGTGTGACCTTGGAATCGACGAACTACGGAGACAAAAAGAACACAGCGTGTGACACAAGATGTTCAGTTGTTTTGCGTGACAGCGTGAGCGCGCATCAGGACACTTTTAACATTGAATGAAGAAAGCGTGACTTGAAAACCATTACTCCTAAAAGATAGGAATTTTGGTATAACATCGTTTTAAATTGTTTTTCTGCCAAGCGTATATCGTTTAAAGATTATTTAATGTAAATTTGAAAATGTTTTGTGGTTATTTAGTGTACTAACTTCACTAAGGACAGATTTCCAACATTCATTATATGAGAGAAGTTAAGTTTGTAGGCGAAAGATACGTTTTCTTTTAAGCAGTTTTGAGAATCATTAGCTTGTAACTTTTAAAATATATATTACATGCAAAGTATCTTCCTGTAATCAGGGTTAACATTCCCCGTCTGATTTCATTACAACCTGCTTGCTTAACGGGGAGAATTAGATTTTGCCATCGTGTCTTTTCCTCTGATGAGCTTTGGTTTTAAGTGTGTGAACCTTGCTTGAAGGGGAATAGTAAAGAAGGAAATTTTAAACTGGACACATCTAAGCATGGCTTCTTCAGTTAAGAATCTTGAAGTAATTGTCGAGTTATCTGCATCTCAAAAGAAAAAAATTTATTCAGGTTATAAACATATTACCTACATCATGTTATGTTTTACAGAGACTATGGGTGAATCAACGAAACAGTTCTTACTGTTCAAACGCTAAGTTGCCATAGAAAAATCGTTAATTGAAGAAAATTTGTCATTGCCTCCATTAAAGATGGCGTATAAAACAACACTAAAAAGATACTGAAGACGATTCTTGTGTGTTAGCTCTTTTGACATATAAACGAATTTTACAAATATATAGGTTAGGGTTAAGGAGGCGTCATAGTTAAGAGGGCTCAGACTCCTAGAAAAAAATATCCCTTAAGTTATTGATATCAAATGGTTGATTGTAGTTTGGGTATGACCTCAGGAACTGGCCGTGGCGACGAATAAGGATTTGGTCTCTAGTTAATGGTATTGACGTTGTCGTTCGACCTAACAGGGGGCAATGCCTTGTAAGACTAAGTGTACGTACGGTGTAATAAGAGATAACCAGAATGCCATTTACCGATAACAGTGACTAGCATGTAATCTCTCCGTACAACATCGCCCTAGAGTCTAAAATTACGTTCATGAGAATAAAAGAAATAATCACCTACTAAAGAAGCCCTTGATTATTAAACAAATTCTCCCGTCGCCACCCTTGGAAATGTATAGAGAACAGTAGGAAGAATATGCATACTGTTGTTAAGGTGTAAAGGGTCAACTGAGGAAAACGACGGAGGACCCACTGGGTGGGTTCAGTCCTTGGTTCCAGTCCTTGGGTCCAATCCCTGGTTACATCATTCGATAAAATGTGAGTCAGTTTGCCTCAGCCGGCTATAAACAAAATTCTGTCTATTGTCGACGTAGTGATGTTAGTTGTTTGTTGCCCTCCACCATGACGCTGCAATTCGATATAAAAAGGCTGTTATGATGTACACATGAAATTTGCGCTTCAGTTGAACTTTGTTGGAGTCAGAGTGTAAATGATATTTTTAGAAGACAGGGAAGACGACGGACAAACGAAGCGCTCTGAAAAGTCAATCACATTTGTGGGGATCTCTAAAGCCTAAGTTCTATATTATATATATATATTATACTGGATTACAGTTGTACAATTTCGAAGAACAAAACAGGTTTTCTTTTTTTGTGTTCAAAGACTTCATAAAACAAAGAAAAAGCTGATATGAATAGTATCTATCCCCTACGCTTCACCCCGTTGATTTCCGCAGTCTTCTCCTTATCATGAAAAATTAGCAATAAGGAAAGGTAGCATTGATTGAGGTGTGTTTACGTGGTTGGGGAGGGGAGGGTAGGGGAGGGGGGGAGCTTGCTTTTCCTCCGCGATTGTACACCTACGTTCCCATATTGCAGTTTTACTACCCATGATTTTTCGAGTGGTTCATTTCGTCTGTGCTGCAATCTAAGAATATCTGATAACATACCAGGCACTGCCATCTTCTGATATTCCTCGGGTTGTTCCATGCAGTCAATGTTTCCATGCATGAATGACTTTGACGTATCAGACGAGAAGTGTCTGCATGAAGATAAGAATGATCATTAGAATCCTTAGCACCTTTGCATCCTAAGCAGGCCGAGAAGAGCACATGGAATTCCGACGCATGTGCATATAGAAAGAAAACCACTGACTACTAAAGAACGCTGATGCTCTTTATTGTTGACTCCGTTAAATTGCATTTAACTGTATTGAAAGAAGGAAACATATGGCGAGTAGCTTTATGCCAAAAAAATCGGGAACACATTACAGTAGCTTTGCGACTTAGATGCGACTGCGGTTTACACATTCTGAAGTCGCTGATTAGGAAAAGTGAACTAGGCAACGTCTGTTAACGCACCTATTCAAATCCTCGCTGCTCGCCCAAATCTCGTACACCACAAACGTGTTTGTTCCACTGATAGTGCGTATCCCAAGACTGCAAGAGAAATACATTGAGGAGGTTAGGTATGAAGTTCACGGGGAACATCAAAAATCGAACTTCTTAAGTTTGCTCTCAGCCGTTTGCACTTGCATTTCTGTGTTCAGGATATTTTTCTGCTCTTTTTGGAAGACCAAGTCACCCTAACAAGTAACCAACGCTGAGTAAATCTACTGACTTACTGCAAACAGCCATCTGCTAAAGACGAGGACGCTACATAACTCTTCAAGTTTGAACGGAATTCTTTTTCAGCCTTTACTTGAAATTTCCTTGAAACTAAAACCACCTATAAAGAAAAAAGAAAAAGTAAAAAAACTTGCTAATAAGTCTTAGTGTCTCAATAAAGCGCGTTTCAACTGAACCAAACCCAAAGTAATCTGAATGGCTGTTAAGAAGAGGGGAAAATCCAACTCGCGTGAGCCAATAAGGACTTCAGGCAAAACCGCCTAAAGCGGAGGAAAACAGGAGGTACCAGGGCGCGATCGGTCTTAGTCTTGGATGTGAAAGTTTGAGATGACAGTCCGAGTTTTCTTAGCCGATCATAGAGCGTGTTGAGGGAACATCAAAGAATACAGGATTACTTGGACCCTAAATTGTATTTTGTACTCAGAGACAGGTATACTTCTACAGGAACACGCCTCCGACGTACTGAACTTTTTAAGAGATATACTATAACTCTTGATCTCAAATCCTTTTCTCTGTATTTACAAACAGGATTTTTTACAATACCGATTGTTCTTTTCCAACTTCAACTTCCTCTTCATCAATGACATCAAATTTGACCTGTTAAGATTCCATGTAGTTGAAACCTTGTATTTCATTTAAAAAAACTGTCTGAGATATTACAAGCGCCCTGATTGGTATATAAACTATCGTTTATTACACCGTTTAACCTATAGAAAACTGAAGCTTATTTTATAAAAGCAATCAACTGTACTTTCTATCGGTTTACCGGCGTAATGAACCCTGGGGGATGTTGGGAGAACACGTGAAAAGTTTGTAAATCACTCGTCTCCAACTTTTAAAAGTAAACTCAAAGAAACAGTAATGGAAAAGAGCACTGAGAATATAATTCATACCATGTAGCTGTCACTTTTCATAAAATAACTGAGACAGTGGGTGGGCTCTCAGCGATGGATAGCCATGTTTTTACAACAGTGTTAACCCTTAAGCCCTAAGAATATCTAGCATCTAATTCCTCCGTACAATATCACCCCTGAATCAATCATTAAGGACATGTAGAATAAAAGAAATGATAACCAACTAAAGAAGCTCTTGATTGTTACACCAATTCTCCTTGCCAGCACCTTACAAATGTGCATACTGATGTCAGGGAGTAAAGGCTTAAAAAAAAAGTTGTACCATAAGACTCCCTTGTTTTTTTGAGATTTTTTTTTAATAAAGGCATGTAGCAGAGGACATCTTTCATGTTTATGAAGCCTCATGTGAACACTAAGATGGTTTGGAAAATTCTCAAAATTGATACAAACTCTCACCCCTGTTTTTGTTTTGTTTAACTATCTCATATTCTCCCCATCCCCCTTGTGTTTAGATGTAGCCATACAATGATGGAAGAAGTCCTCTACTGCCTAAATATCATTTAAGAAAAAAAGGAAGGCACACCTTATTTTCCAATTTGTCAATGAGCTCTGAAAGACGATCTACTTCCAAGGACAAACCATGTCTCATTGCTTGCTGGTTAGCTGTTCAGATATCAATGTTTTGGGAGAAACTTAAACTCTAACATTGTTGTATGTCAGCTCATGACTTGTCCTGTCTGTCTTACAACACTACAATAACCATGATCAGATGTAAGACATTTAACCCTCTAACTCCCATGAGTGACCAAGAAGAATTTCTCTTTACAACATCATTAACCACATAAGTGATGAGAATAGAGAAAAAAATCAATTTGGGGAAAATTAGTTAATCCAATACTAACTTCTCTGAACTAACATTATAAGAAAGTAAGGAGAATTACAAATTTGATCTGGGAGTTAAAGGGTTAACCACCCCACTTAGGGTGGGGAAGTTTTCCCAAACTAAAAAAATAACAACATTTGTGGATCAATGTCAATATCTGAGCAATGGTGTACCTACCCCTCCCCTGACCCAACAAGTAATCCTAACTTGTCATCATTTGACTGTTTTTTGGGTTAGGGGAGGGGAAGGTAATTCTGCAGAAACTGACATTGATTCAATTTTCCAGTAGCCAGGTACAGAAAAACATAGTAGCCCCCAACAGTTAAAATATATTTGAGACTGACAAAGGTATCTTCCTTATTTATCTAATCTAATAAGTAGCAAGTGGGCAGTGAAGCCCAGAGCTACAATGAGGGTATTAATTATGGGATAAATTCTGTTTCAGTTCAACTGATTTGGATAGAGCCTGGTCCAAAGTCTATCGTGCATTAGTGCTGATAGTATTTACAGACCTCCTTCCTAATAGAGAAATTGTACAGGGAAGGGGATCAAACACTTCATAATGATGATGTATTGATATTTGTGTCTACTTATAAAAATACCTCTCCCAACTTTTACCTTTAATTGTAAATAGTCAGGAAGAAGTTGAAGAGGTGCAGGAAGGTTGAATATTTGACTTCTTGATGGCTAGTGCCACCTGAAATTATTCCTTCAGCAATCCCCCTAAGAGGGATCAAAGACTGGACCTTAGAAAGAAGACAGTAAAAAATAAAGTAGTTTATAAGTTACCATCAAGGCTTGTTTGTTGTTCAAATGAATGCATTTTTCTCTTCATCCTTCCTCCCCTTACATTTGTATTGGTGACTGGAGCTTGACAAACATCAGGTCTAGTGAAAGACAAACACACATCAACTTCATAAATGAAACTGAATTTTTTTTCCATCCTGTTATATTTGAGACAAATACACTCGTCTGATAATTTATAATGTTATTTTATTAAGCATTAATACTGAAGAAATTGATTGCTCATAAAGTGAAAGACTTTGAATGTCAGCTCTTACATTTGTAATTCTAATGTTTCGGAAATTTATTTTAATCAAAGAAACTAACCAACCAGAGTTGCACCCTGACAGGCCCTATGATGTCACTCAAAACAAATTGACGTCTTTGTTCAACTTCCATGACTTTTCTTACATTAAAGCTTTTTAACACTGGGTACCCCATACTTCTGAAACAAGAGCCTTCAGGGACTCTGTGATTTTTCTAAGCGCACAGCATTGCCAACAAGGTTGACCAAGAAATTACACAAGGTGAGACTGAATGACAGATCAGGAAAGTTATTAAAAGCCTGTGATTTAATTATCAAAGAAATGTTACAAAGAAACAATCACCTTTGCTGTGTTTCTTCCTCATCAATCTTATCTACTGCAGCATTGATGTGATGTGCTAGACAACCCATCTGTCCCTGAATCTATACAGTTGTGAAGCAGAGACATATGAACTTACATCAGTCACAATTCATTGTGAAGATAATAGTCATTGTCACTATGTCTTTCAGGGAGGTTTTCCATCCTCAAAATTATTACAGACTGATACATTTATGTACCTCAGTGTTGAAACCTAAAACTGGGGCAGTTTTAAATAAGGTTGAGAGAATGATCATGATATGTCCTAATTACTTACCTCTTTCAACAGGAAGCGAGTGGTAAACTTTCCAATAAAGGACTTGTCAGGATAAGCCTATAGCAAAAAATATCATTTAAACCAGTTATAAATTTACTTAACATATTATTTATCTATGCAATCTCACCCCAGATTCACATATAAGGTCATGAGAATAAAGAAAATGATTGCAAACCAAGGAAGCTTTGATTGTTAAATGAATTCTCCTTGTCAGTATCAAAATGAATGTACAGAGATGATCGTAGAGAATATAGATACTGATATTAGGGTGTAAAGGGTTAAGAAAAGGCAAAGTTCAACTTCATGACCATCAATGACAACTGTATCCAATAAAAATGAGATATTTTTTCAAAAAATTAGAATGACTGATATGCTCTGAAAGGCTGCTAATATTTCTAAAGAGAGAGAAAAATAAAAGTTTATCAGGATATTGTATTTACTCTATTGCCTTGTTTTCCTTTATAAAATTGCATATTGAAGTACTGTATTTTATTTTATATAGGCTCAGTTATGCACATATTCTGATTGGTTCTCACTTATGATCTATTGGAAGACAGATGACATCATCATTAAAACTTTTTTTAATTCTTTATTATATAAAACAAATAGATTCCAAGTTGCCGTGCATCTGTTCAGTAATAGATCGCAGAGGATGTCAAAATGTGGTAAGAACATCAGTGACACACTTGGCTGCGCCTTGTGTGCCACTTTTTTGTTCTTACCACATTTTGATGTCATCTGTGATCTATTACTGAACAGACGCATGGCAACTTGGAATCTATTTGTTAAATAGAGAACAGGTGAGTATTTGGGAAATATTTAATACCCTGTAGTGATGGTACAAACCTTTGCAGACTCCACCAATGCATTACTGACAGCTTTGTTCATGCTCTCTAGATTGGCAAAGATCTCAGTGAAAGGGCCCATTTCTTTCATGAAGTAATCTAGATAGAGTAAGCAGGGACATCTCTCATAAATAGCAGGTCTAATGGTTATTCTGTGCTATACATGTAAATAAGTGACTCTTGGCTCCCTTCTTGAGTAGAAAAAAAATTGAAATAAATGCAATGATCACCTAAACAGACAGTTACTCTTTACACACTAAGAATGATATGCATCTTTCCCACACTATTCTTTATATACTTCTGATGGCACTGAAAAGGAAAATTGTTCAACAATCAAGGAGTTCTTGAGTTTGTGATCATTTCCTTTGCTCTTGTGACCTTAGTATTTTATTCAGGGGTAATGTTGTTTTGAGAAGTTGGATGTTAGTCACTCATGAGGGTTAGGAGGCCTATTTTTATGTTACAGTACAAAGCTAATCTTTGAACGAGGGCAAGCATAACATCCATATCCATACAATGAAATAGCCAAATGTTTTTGGATTAAAAAAAATACAATTATCCAACAAAATTGCCACTTTAATCCTAATTTAGCTGTTATTATGCGACATTTGGTGGAATACTTACCACAAAGCTCAGAAGTATCCAAATTACTAAAATGATAACAAAAAATGCTTTATTTTAAAATAGAATTGTAACAGAATTGAGCAATTTGGACACTTCTCAGTTTACATTATGATGGTAATACAGCTGCCATGCTCTAAGGAAGGTCACAAGAAATTCCTAAGGAATAGTGGGGTTCAGTATAAAGGATTAAGTCGAATTTCTAAAGAAACTATGAAGCACAAGCAGAATTTCCAGAGAGCAGATGATGTTTACTTACAAAAGAGAACAACAAAAAGAAAAAGAAAATATAGCAGTTTACTGAGTACTTCTTATGTAAGCATTTGGGTTTCAGAGACCCTGCAATTTCTACAACTTTTATGCTTCTATGTAATGATTGGCTTTGGTGTAATTCTTTAATGAACAGTGGTTTGCAATGAAGGAAGGTAATTGTTCCAGCCCTCATTTGCATATTTTTGGACATTGATATATTGCACAGGGCGTGATGTGTATTTATCATAGTGAATCCTTAATCAGATCGTGTCCTGAACTTAATCACGCGCTGCAAGGAGCCTTTAAAGTTCTATAAACACCTATTTAATTTCTCATCTACAATCATGCCCTTACGTACTTTGTGTTGTGTGTATCGATGTCGTGGAATAATTTTTCCAAATCTTCGTTCGACAAGATTCCATCGCTGAAGAATGCCTTGAATTCCTCCAGAGACAGAGCACCATCATCTGTTTTTTAAACGAATCGGTAACAGATTAATTGTCTGTAAATGTGTATAACTAGATCAGCTAGCTCCCGAAATTGTTAAATCGACCGGAAGTGACCTCCAACATCATATTTATCGACAATAATTTCGCAAATTTTCGCACAAATATTAGTATGAAAAATAGGACCCCTCACCAGTTTTATCTGCTCTTCGAAACACCTGCAGGAGAAAATACAAAGCTCTGATTTAATATCAATAGACATGTGGAACGAGAAAATTGTAAACTGAACACATACGTCCAAAAAGATCGACCTTCCCGGGGGCTGTTCCTCCAACATTCCCGCCATGATCAACGTTACTGGGCTTACCGATATCCACGATCTAGTCCGAAGATTTCCGGAAAAGTTTTCGGAACGAGTTCGAACAAAATGGCGGCCATATCATCATCTCCAGTTGTCCAAGCGATCGATCAGAAATCTATTCACCAGATTTGCTCTGGTCAGGTTGTTTTAAGTATTGCAACTGCAATGAAAGAGCTTGTTGAAAATAGCTTGGATGCTGGAGCCACCAACATCGAAATCAAACTACGAAATCATGGCGCTGACGTTTTAGAGGTTATCGATAATGGCTGTGGGGTAGAACCCCACAATTTCGAAGCGTTGACTTTAAAGCACCATACCTCGAAGCTAAAAGATTTCTCCGATCTCGCAAGCGTGGAAACGTTTGGTTTCAGAGGGGAGGCACTAAGCTCCCTTTGTGCGCTGAGGTATTTGTGAAGGGGACGCTATTTGGTGTTGGCGGGAAACTAAATTGGTTATTTAACGTCCCTTACGGCTGAATGTTGTTGATAGCTTGCAATATATCTGTAAATTCGTCACTAGAACCATTTGACAGGTCAATAACCAAATCTTTAGCTAAGAGAGTGAGGGTGATTGTGCTAACAATGGAAGGTCGGGGTGTAGTCAAGAGGAATAGGGGAGGGGGTGGGGAATGGGGTGGGGGGGGGGGAGTATGGATTGGTGGGATCTTTTGATCTCATAGTTTTATTATGACTAGTGCCTCAACCAACTTGGTATGGGGCTTCTTGTATTGTAGTGCTCAATTAAAAGAACAGCAAAAAGGTCACAGAAACAAGTCATTTTACATGCCATTGGGGTTCAAGAACTGGGTAATGAGAAAATGATACCACATTTTTAGGAACCACAAGCCATTCAATTCGCCTGATGTATTCTTCTCTCTCTCCACAGCAAACTTATAATAGTGACACATCACTCGTCCCAGACTGTGGCAACAAGACTAGAATATGATCACAATGGAAAACTGCTTTCCAAGAACCCTTGTGCCAGGGCTGTTGGCACCACAGTGTCATTAGAAAACCTTTTTTCAACTTTACCTGTACGCCATAGAGAGTTTCTCAGGAACATCAAAAGGGAGTTCTCAAAACTAGCACATGTCCTTCAAGGATACTGTCTTGTAAGTACAGGTGTGAGGATAATGTGCAGTAATCAAGTGGAAAAGGGAAAGAAGACAACAATTGTGTCAACAAATGGAAGTGATCAGGTGAAGGATAACATAACCTGTGTCTTTGGACCAAAGCAGGTATGTGTAGTGTGTATTTCCCTGACTGGTATAGTACAAGGTTGTTAAAAAAGCTAGTAGGTACCCTGTGGTATCTCCTCAAATAAAACTCCTAACTTAGAGTTTGACACTGAGATACTGTGGTGCCATCACAAAATTTTTTCTGCCTTTGGGTACTGCACCCCTGACTTGACTTTGAACATCAATGCAGTAATTGGACTTCACATTCACTTTTCTCACATGCGATTGCAAACCAGGGTGAATTTCACTCTTGGGGCCCATTGTTTTAATTTTCTTATGACCATGATGCACCCTCCTGAAATACATCATGACAGTGTACTGCAGGAGGCCTTTGCCAACCTCTGACTGACTATTAACCAACTTGCTATCTTGTTATTACAGTGACATCATGAATGATAAACAGTTATTAGTGAGCCTATACACTAGCTGTTTCAGCATGAAATATCTGGTTGAGTACAGTTCAGTTTTACCCAGTTTAACTCTATGTGGTGTTTATTTGTGACACTCTTCTCTCTATGATAACATAAAATGACGTTTGAAAGATAACTCTGTATTGACAGACAATTGACTGTCTTGCTATCTGATACATTGACTAAGGCTTCCTTGAGTACTCTTGATGCCTCAAGAGGAGTTCCCTAAATGTACAGCCAGGTGCTCTTACATACTCTTAAGTGGCTAACTGTCCTGCTTTGATACCTTCACACCCAGGGGTGGTTTTATTTCACCTTGGTGCCACAAGATTTTGATTTATTAAAACCAGCAAGTTCCTGTAGGCTCCACTCTCAGAAGCCCTTAAACTACTTATTCAGGTGCTCTCACGCTCCCTCCAGTTGCCAACCCTTTTGCTCAGATACCTTCACACCCAGTCATGATTTTATTTTTCCTTGAAACCATGACATTTTGGTTTATTCAAACTAGCGAGTTCTTGTAGATCTGTAATTCTATAAGTTCTCACACCTACTCAGGCAGTTATCATGTAATTATATCTTATTTCTTTTTTGTGGATTGATAACCCTCTGCGACCCCATGTTGTTGCCTTCTCAAAGTGCTTTTTGATTTAATTTTGTTAAACCGAAATCCCAAATACGAAATCACGGCAGCTGATCAGAACAGAGGAACACCTCGGGACTTAGTGCTAAATCAAATGACACAAAGAAAACCAGCCTCGCATTCCAGAAAAATTGAGTGTTCAAGTTCTGGTAGATTCCAGTTTTGCTTCCGATTGGTTGAGGAGAAGGTGCGAGGTTTTGTTTTGGGCACCAATCAAAAACTTTAGGGAAGCAAAAACACCACAGTCCTGTATTGCCGTCCTTCGCGTTAACTTGAAGATGTAATGTTTATTTCTTTAGGTACAAACTATAATGGCTTTTGAACAATCAGCGCCAAACGAAGAGGATTGCAATGAAATCGGCCTTGATGCAGCGAAAACTGACCTACAGAACAATCCCTTCCATATCACGGGCTATATTTCAAAACCAGATCACGGCATGGGACGTAGTAGTGCTGATCGTCAGTTTTTGTACATTAACAAAAGACCTTGTGAACTATCCAAAGTGCTCAGAGTCATAAATGAGGTTTATCACACTTACAACAGACATCAATATCCTTTTGTGATGCTAGATATTACCTTAGCAAGAGGTGAGTTCTGATTACAAAGATTATTGTTATGTACCAAGCACATATTAACATGAAACTTATTTTTACCTGACACCCCAAGAGACCCTCGCTTCGCATCCGTTCAATACAGAACCTGTGCAGTGTTGAGGTCGTAAAAAATCAATGGTGGCAGTGCCCAACTAGAATATGGGAGGCACTGGTTCGAATCCCGTCGACACCTGATTTTTTTAGGCCTCTTTTCTGTAATTGCTGAAATGGCAGTTCGCCTGCGGGGATCATTTCATCCGCAGGTCAAATTAAAGCTATTTCTTTTCGAATTGTTACGCAATAAAATCTTAAAACTGACCTTTTTGTTTGTTTGTTTGTTAGTCAATTAACCCTTTAACTTCCGTGGGTGACAAAGACAGAATTTTTCCTCACTATATTTCTACCATATCATGTAGACAAGAGATGAGAATTAAGAAAAATATCAATTATGGGATTACTAATTGATCCGATACCAAATTCTCCAAACTAACATAATGAGATCGTTTGGCAGACAGTAAGGAGAATCACTGATGAGATCTTGGGAGCTAAAGGGTTGATCACATAATAACGTTCATTGAAATTATATTAACTGTGAGCAGGCTCACTTTGTTGCCACGGCACGAGCAGCGAAGCTCGCGTGTCATATTTCTCGTGCCGGGCTCTACACAGACCTCTCGCGCACTTGTTCCGTTCGTTGGCTCGAAATTCGTGGGCTTTGCCGCGCATGCCGCTGCGTTAATATATAATGAAAGCCTGCTCGCAAGCTGAAATATATGTTTTTATGGATTCTTCTGACAGATGGAGTGGACGTGAATGTGACTCCGGACAAACGACAGGTTTTTGTTCAGGAGGAGAAGGTGCTCCTGGCCACAATGAAATCATCCTTGAAGAGAATGTTTGACCCTTGTACAGCTTCATTTGATGTCAATCAAAAACCTCTGATGCAAATAACACTGGCCGAATCTTTCTCAGCAAAAGAGGCTAACAATGTGACTTTCCCCGAGAACGAGCAACTTCGTAATCAGAAAGGTACGGGCTCTACGGTCAATAAAGATGCTAAAGTATCACAGTCTGTAGAGCCTATGTTGATATCCAGACCTGGTGTGTCTGAAGAGAGAATGAGGTTCCCTTCCCTCAGTAGTTTTAAGAGGAAATTCTCAGCTGTTGATGGATATGTTAAGAACAAACCAAGAGAACCCTGCAGTAAGCAAGCAAGGCTTACTTCTATGTTTTCTCGGGTTGGTGGTTTGTCAAATCGAAGCCACAACGTGGGACTACGATCTGACAGGAAACATACAACCGTAATTAACGGCCACGGAGATGATGAAGAACTCAGGGAAGATGGCAGAAGTAACGAACATGTTATTGAAGTTCAGGACGAATTAGACACGAAGAACTTTGTGAAAGAGAAGTATGTCCTTGATCATAATAATGAGGACTGCACAGTACAGCGTGAAAGCGACAGTGTATCAAGAGTGAGTGAGGTAAGGGACACACCTTGCGGAGCGACTGTTTCAGATGATAATTCTGTTGAGGAGAGTAGTTCAAGATGTCCTGCTTCTTCCCAAAGTTTTAGTTTTATAAACGAATCCGGAGAAAACAGCCAAAATGATCCAGAGCCTGTGAATGAAAATCAATGCTCTTATAAAAATGTGGATGGCAGAGATGACGCCATGAAGTCGTTACTTGTAACTCCTAAACGTCCGAATGCTTCAAGTACAAAACAAGTTGCTTCCGGTTCATTTAGAGACCGGAAGGAAAACACAGTTAACTTTAGTATGGATAATCTGATAACTAACGTCAAGAAACCGCAGCGAGAAAAAACAAGGGCTGTTGAAGCTCGCTTGTTCAGAGCCAAGATTGCTCCAGAGAGTAATTCTAGTGCAGAGTCAGAGCTGAGAAAGAATATTAGCAAAGACATGTTTAAACGGATGGAAATTCTAGGTCAGTTCAATTTGGGTTTCATCATCGCTAAACTGGACAATGATTTGTTTATAATCGATCAGCATGCATCGGATGAGAAGTATAACTTTGAAGATCAGCAGCGCAATACCACAATCAGGTCACAACGGCTCATTGTTCCACAGAAACTTGAACTAACTGCTGCTAACGAAGCCATCCTCATGGACAATGTGGATATATTTCGAAAGAATGGGTTCGAATTTGAAATTGACGCAAATGCTGAAGCGATGAGGAAGGTCAAACTAGTTTCGCTTCCAATGAGCAAGAACTGGACCTTCGGCGTGGAGGATATCGAAGAACTGATTTTCATGTTGAGTGATTCTCCCGGCATTATGTGCAGACCTTCAAGAGTTAGGAAGATGTTTGCGAGCCGTGCATGCCGTATGTCTATCATGGTTGGAACAGCATTGGATCAAGCCCAGATGAAGAAGATTGTCTGTCATATGGGTGAGATTCAACATCCATGGAATTGTCCTCATGGCCGGCCCACCATGAGACATTTGGTGAACCTTGGCATGCTGCCATCATCAGATTGCCATTGAAAATTGACGAATTAAGGTCAAATTTTTCCTCATTTTAAAGGAAACGGAGGAAATTATTGTCCGCATTAGTGAGATAGAGAATCCACGCTTGTTCCCGATCAAGATGTCAAGATGGTAGCTTCTGTACGAGACGCTTTGTACTTTAGAAAGATGCATCATCATTAGAATCTGTTAGAATATGTTATGTTAAATCACAGTTTGAATTCATGATTATTGTTCACGGAAGAAGGAGTATGATTTATGTTGGTGACATTAACCCTTTAACCCCTACGAGTGACTCACAGCCTCTTTCTTTCTATAATGTCACCTTTGAGTTATACATTAAGGTCACGAGAGTAAAGGAAAATGATCACCAACCAAAGAAGCTGTTAATTTTAAACAAGTTCTCCTTGTCAGCAATTTAGGAAACGTCTGAGATTAGTATGGAGAATATGCTTATTGATGTTAGGGTATAAAGGGTTAAACATCCCTGCAAAGTTGCACATAGTCGGGGCACCGTGAAACTAGTGAAACCATGCGGTGCTACCGTTATCATATCCAGATAGAAAATTTAGTTAAATTCAGTGTAGAGTTATTTCACGAGCTAGATTGTTAACTATGAGACGTTAAGTGAACCTCACAATGCTGCCATCATATATGTTAGGCTGGAAATGGTCTCCATAATTCGTTTATTTCCTCATCTCTAATGCGTTGAGTTTGCTCGACTTCCATCAAAGCAAGGTTTGTTTAGTTATTATCATAGAAAATGTAAAATAAAGTACACTAAATCATGCATCGATTTGTCGTATTCGTCTCGAAATACGTAGACTCTGTTAGGGAAATAAAAGCCGTTTACCTCTCGCTAAAATGTGCGTGGTTCTAAGTTTCTGTAATAAGATGAGAGTGACGGAAAAGATAAGATATCAGAGTGAAATCAACCTCCAATCAAAACAAGTTAAAAACCAAATTTATTTATCGCATCTCAAACAAGATTACACAAAGTTTAATTTCTATTTTACAAGGTTCAATAACAGTATTATCAGTGAGCAAACGGTTTAAAGGTCAGATCGCACACCAAAGCCTGGCCCTTTGGGAGGCTCTGTTAATGACGTCAGTCCTCCGGCGGGCTCACAACAAAATCGACCACTCCTGGAAGAGAAAGCAAGCCCACATGAGAGAAAATGAAAAGAAAATAGTGAAGAACATCACCTGCACAATCGCCTGCGGGGGCGCTCTCTTAGCGGTGAGGCCCACGCTTTTCCAACCGATGTGAGCGTGCGGAAGGTTCGTGAGGGTCCAAGCCCAGACCCCTCGTCAACCTTTCGCTCGTACCTCTCGCTCGCTCGTCTCGCTCATCGGTTCGAATCTCGCCGTTTCGCCGCTCGTACTGCACTGAAAATGAGGGCATGCTAGCCAGCTAATGAATAAAAGGTGTAAATGTAAGAGGCATACCTGGGTCCCGCTTTTGGTGTTTTTCCAGCAATCAGATCGTCAATGATTTCTTCTACGTCGTTGGCTGCGAGGTCCTCCTGGAGAGATTTGATACACAATAAGAAAAAGTGGGTTAAGTCACAGTCGTTAGGACTAGCCTTTTACTACATTAATGACAGAGTAACGTGCTTTCCTAAACAAATTGTCGGAATCGTACCTATGAATTAATAAGGCAGAATTCTTTTCCTACTTTATACTTAACGCCCGGGACGCTTCCGTTTTATGAAGGAATGATGTTATTAGTCGACGCATTTTCCCTTTGTTTCCAATAGCCTAGTACCCACCAAGTGTCCCGCAAATAATTACCACCAGTTAATTTATCGTTAACTACGACATTCTGCTCATTTTCGTCAAAAAGTAATTCCCTGTTTTAGTACTTTTGATGAGTACTAACATTTTAAACATCTTCCTTCCCGTTCCCCTGTGCGTAACCAGGTCAGTGTTCTTATGACTCTAGGTGAGCTTATCAGTGCAACAAATAAACGGTATGTTATTACTGCATGGTAAGGTGAAAAAAAGGAAACTGTTCTCACATAGTAGTTGTCGTTAATCTGCATCATTGGGGCATTCACACAAGCTCCAAGGCATTCTACTGAACTCATGGTAAACAAGCCATCTTTTGTTGATTCGCCAATCTTGATACCTTAAAACATCAAATTATGGACATTTCACCTTTACAATTTATGAAGATTTATAAAAAAGCTAAGTTTTGACATGCAACCTGATTGGTCAAAAACCTTTTGATTAAATAACTCAAGAGCTCGTGAAAAGAAACAACCACTTTTGGAATACGTTGCAGTTTCAGGAGTGAAAATGTCATGTAAAGAAGGTTCCTTGATATTAATTCAAACAAGGGGAACCAATAGAAGTTCTAGTTGTTTATACTACTTGGCATGTGGGGTGAGTTAACCAACCTAATTTCTTGGAAATAACTTCTACTACCATGTCTGAGTCTCTCAGTTGACAAGGTGTTGTGGTGCAGACTTGAATGTGATATTTTCCAACAGGTTCCCTTGGAGAGAAAAATTCATTTCTTATCAGGTTATCAGCTCCATAAAGAGATATGAGGATAAGAACCAGGTGTGAGAGTCTTTTAAAAAAGATTGTAAGCTTAAAATGGTAAGAGAGAGGACATTTTGTCACTTTTGCACCTTTATTTTTTCTTAAGATGGCAAGCTGCTAAACAAACCTGTTATACATGGTGTAGAATGTTGCCACTTCATAAACTCTCATTCTTGGCATTTCTAACAAATCAGCAACATAATTCATTGCAGAAATTGGTAGCCAACCTAAAAGAGAAATAAAAACTTTCATGCTGCAATAGGCGCGATACGATCAAGAATAACTTACCGGTAAGTTACTTGCCTATGACATAGCTCAAGGCTGTCACTACTTTAATTGTCATGGCCAATAGGGAACTTTTTATAACTTGCTGCTTATGGCCATCAGTTGAAGTGAGATACACATTAGCTTGAAAGCTGGCATTTTATTTTGGGGACCACTTTGTGACTTTAAGTCACCATATGACAACTTTGAAAAGAGTTGAGGATGAAGCTTTGCACTGAGTAAGTCTTTTCATCCTTGATAAGTGGATGGAGAGGTTTCTTTCAATTAAGATCTGACTTCTACCAAACCTGTATGCAAATTTTTTTTTTCTGTGAAAACAGCATGTTATAATTCCACTGCATACCATGTTGTCTTTGTGCCAGATCCAGTACAGGTATGACAGCAGCTGCTTTGTGTCCATCAGGGTAGTTGTTTATGATTGTTTTCGCTCTCTAAGAAAACAACAAATTGTCAACTCTTAGAACAATTATGATGAGTGTGTAGCTTAAATGCTCATCACTGCTTTCAGTATGGCATACTTAATCTCTTTAACTCCCACAAGGATTAACAAGTAACTTCTCCCTTAATATCTGTACATTATCCAGCAAACAGGTAATGAGAATACTCAATCTTAACAAATTCTCCTAACTAGTCTACAAGGAAATGCAAGAGGGGAGAATTAACAAACAGATCAGGGGAGTTAAGTATTAATTAAATCATAAAAAATTGAATTTTAGCCCAATTTGAGCATGTATTGGATAGTTAAAGAGTGAGAATCTTAAATTACACATTAAGTTTCATGAACACCCAACTGAACTAGAGGCTTTAAATGTTTGAATAGACTTTTTAGCAATAGATATGTTTCACAAGTTTTGTTAAAGTTTTAATAAATTGGAAACAGGACTTGGTCAATTTGTGTCCTCTGTTTCCATCTGTAACTATACTCCTCATTTTTTTTTTTTGTAAATTACCCTTATGTCTACAGACTAAATTGGACTTCACTCATCCCCATTACCATGATGAATTGAGAAATGAAAAAGGCTGCTATAAATAAGTGGGATTGTACCAAATTCTCATGTTAGAGCTTCACAGAGTCAGTAATTAAAACACTAATGTCATGAAGGAAAACCCCATGAAGCCAGCATTGATGTTGGGATCATATCCTCATTTTAAAAAACAAGATCATTTTTCCTTCATGGCTTAAGCTGTCAGGCCATAAAAAAATCATTAAATTTTTTTAAACCCTTTAACTCCCAAGATCTGACTGTTCATTCTCCCCTCCAGCTGCTACACATTTCCTGACTTGTAAATTAATTATGAGAATTTGGTGTAAGATCTATACAACAAATTCCACCTGATAAGCTTGAACATTCTTGAAACGTGTTTACTGAAAAAATGTACAGATATTTTAGGGAGAAGTTGCATGTTAATCACTATTGGGAGTTAAAGGGTGAAGAGAGTGATATTGGTTTGATTCCCTATTTTGTTGCTCACCTCCAGGTTTTTAGCAGTCAGTTCAAATGGAATGTCTGGATTATTTTCTGGAGTATCCCTGTGCTGTGAACAAATTCAAAGTCATGTATCAGTTTGGTTCAGTTTCCCTTCAAATTAAATACAGCCTGATCACAATTTTGGTATTCAAGATCATCTACTTGTAAATAATATTGGAAGTGAGGTATATGTATCATCATCTCACAGCCAAATTATACAGGTAGGAGACTACTTTTGTAAGTAGATTGCATACTTTTCAAGAGCTGTTCAACGTATCTTCTTCTTTTTTAAGAAATGAATCCAATGCAACTCTAAAGTTTAAGTTGGGTCGTTATGTAACAGCAAAGCAAAGTAAGCAAACGCACTACTTAGCTTCACTAGGTATTGGAAACGTGGAAAATCTTTCTTCTGATGATTTCTCTTATGAGTCACGGCTGCAAATTGAAGTTGATGTTAATCTTATTGTGCACACTTACCACGAAAAGCTTATCTGACAAGACGGGTATTGCCCGATGAAAACATCTTGAGGGATGGATGGATACTGCTTGTTGACTGGCCTACGATTAGAATCATTTCTTTGCATGAATTTATGAACTTCTCTCCAAAAAAGTGGAAGAAAGATAGTTGAGTGGTTATTCTACACCTTGATTATCTCCTCACCTTGCCAACAGCACGAATAAGCGAGAATGATCTTGACAAAGTTCTCAGACTCGACAACATGGCGGTCGAAAACAGAAAACTTTAATTGGTCAGCGGTAATTACCCAAAACCAAATATTTTTAGGGGAGGTCTGGGAAAAAGTGACGATCCAGCCCTTCAAGTTTAGCGGACTTATCCTGCGAAGAAATTTGTTTTAGGACTCGTATTGTCATCATATTTCATGGATTATTTTCGATCTACTGAATAAGGTTGTGAAGAAGAAGAAAAAAATAAGCAGAACAACAACAACGACGAAATAGGCGCCGTCACAATGTGTAAAAAGTGCAGTCTTATTACAAAGTAAACTCTTTATTTTCTTTTCTTTTCCGCAATGGTCTGCTCTGATTACTGCTGACCGTCTCCAAAAATGCTCGACGTATTGATTATACTGCATACCATTTCTTACATGTAATATCCAGTCTTGATTGAAATTTACAACGTTGTTTGATTGTAACCAGGACTGTTGTATTCCATTTCAACTGACGACACGAATTCACTGATGTAAAACCTGAGTTTTTGTGTGAGAAATGTCTTTGGAGAATCAAAAGCTGGGATGTTAGCTGAGAAACGGACTAGCCGCGGAGAATTAGTCAGACACAAGAGAATACAAACTGTTTATAGCCTATTGTCAGTCATCCGTCGTAATTACGGTGTTATTTTGTTACTGTAACGATTGCTCCATCTGAGGCACTCAAAAAAGACGAGGCGTCAAGAAAACGGAAATAATTATAATAAAAAAAAAAAGGAAAACAAAAAACTCACGCCAATGACAGGGAAAATTGATTCTGTTTTTATTTCAATTGATTTTACCTTTCACACTCAACGTCCTTCTCTGACAAGGAAAATCATCAAGTACCACATGTGCAGAGGAAAAATAAAATTTAATTTTTGACGGCATGAGTGTTCAAACGGTATGAGTTGTATTCAGTAGATTGGAGAAGGGTAAATTAAAAGGGAGAACTTTGGAATGTGCATCAGAATCTCTACGTGGTCAAAATTCAAAACCGTAAGTCTAAGTTCAAATTTCAGTCAAAACATTTCTTCCCTATTCAAGTCTTCAAGTCTTCCCTATTCAATCAGCCATTTTGTTCGGCCCGACGACACCATAATCATCTTCAATAGCCAAACCCAGAGTCCTTTGCCGGCAGTTCTGGTGCGATACTCTGAAGGAGTTTCGACGAGGACGCTTTTCCAAATAAGGTGACCAAGAGAGCCACTCCGTAACCTGTTGCCCTTTCACCCTGCAATAGCAAAGACGCACGTCAATTCTGCAGAGACCTTGAGAGTCTGGGACGAGCTGCTCTACAAGCTCGAGATTTGAATTCAAGTTTTACGCGAAATATTAGAGTAGTTTAGCATGGCTAGAGGCAAAATTTGACTAGTTGTTGTTACACGCTCATGAGTTTGCTCACCATATGAGCTGGAGCAGCCATATCAATATGTAACCAGCTTCCAGGGAAATCAAATCCTAAGTGGGAACCTATAAATAGAAATAATTCAAGTTCAAGTGTAAGGTCAAGTTATCTTCTGCAAAAAGTTCGCTTAATAAAGGAAAAAAAAGGAAAAAAAGCATCCCATATCACAAAGGTGAGGCTTTCTTTATAAGTCAAACTATACAGGCTGCAAAAGTGCAATATGAAAAAAATCTTCTTAGAAACAGAGTGACATAAACAATTCTTTTTACGTTATACGTGATTGAATCTGCTGAGCGATGTTTCGTCTATTGTCGTCGGTTAATGCACAAAGTTTCTACAGTAATCCCAAAAATCCTCCATAAATTACATACCAATGAAAAGGCCAGCACAGGACACTTGAGCATTATCACGATTCTGCGTAAAACAAAAGGTTTAATGATGTATCCCTTAAACTGACATGTATTTACGTCATATGGAAGTGAGTTTCGTAGCTATTAGTCCCTCATAGCTAAGTTTGTATTCTCTTGCTTTCCACTCAAACGCTAGACGTTTGAAAGTAAAATATAATAAGGAGCGAACTAAAACAAGAAGCTACGGTAGCTCACTTCAAGCGAGGGCAAACTTGGGTGACGTAATCACGACTGGCTTTAATTTTTGCCTCTGATTGGTTGAGAACGTTGCGTAAGTTTTCTCGACCAATCGCAAGGCGTAGTTATGCAAACTTGAGCAGTCACGGATTAATTTCGACTCTCAGTAAGCAACGTGCCTAAAAATAAAAGGAATTATTTTCCATGCTTTGCTCTGCTTATTCCTATGATAAATTGTGATTACTAAATGCTATGGCAAGACAAATTATACATCAAATAACTTACTTGTACTGAATTTTTCATATCTGCTAATGCACTTGAAAATTCTGAGAAATGAAGTTCTGGGCAATATGGAATGGGAAACTGAAAGAATAAAAAAAAGTGCAACGAACAATTAAGAGAGTGGAAATAGGTTTAAAACTGAGCAGATTTTTAAGTCGATATCGTAGAAGAGAAACAGATGAACAATGTGGAACAATGTTAAACAATATCATAAGAATAAAATGAGAAATTTCACGCCAAAGATGAGCCTGAAAGGAGAGAGAAAAAATGTGCGACCTCCACAAAGATTGGAACCTTGGACCTGCCAATATCATGATCGATTGTAAACGGTTGTAAACATCGGTTACTTCACCTATTGCGCTACAGAAATGTGCTAGGCGAGCTTTTTTTACGAAATTACATGCAATTCAAAAGTGGCCAGCGATCTGGTTACTGCCAAGATAAGAGCTGTCGAAAGCGTAGTGTGTGTAAACAGACTAAAAAAGAAGATAAATTTCAAAATCTTTAGCGCGGTCGTCGATTGAAAAAGTCCTTTTAACCTTCATCACAAGCGGAGACTTTTTGTTTAACAGTGTTCTCTATAATGAAGTCAGGGATGTCAAAACTGATTCACTGAAAGTTGACATATCACAATTAACTACTCACAACCAAGTCCCCACTTGCTCTTCCCGCCGCAGCACAAGCTGGTTCCCACACCTCTTTGTTGGTCAAAAGTGACGCGTGGTAGCGTCCCGTTGCAATACCCTGGGCACCAGTCAAGGTGGCCATGTCAAGGACAACGTCGGCATGGAGATCCTTCTTGGCATACGCCACCTGAGAATAAAAGAGAAAGGTAAACTCCATCATACAAGTAGCAGTTTGGTTACTGAAAAGTGAACAGATCCACGGCATACCACAATGACCCTGCAATCATGGAACGCTATTAACAATATACATAACAAAATTACGCGCGTCTGATTGGCTGAAAACGGGAACATTTCTCCTGTAACACGGGTGCAGAGTTGTAACGAGTGCAAATTACAAATAGCGCGCGCGCTGCAATAAATTTCGTCCGTCTTGACTTTCTGTGATGCGTTTTTGATGTAAGGTATTCACAAGTAACATCACGATTTCTCATGCACGGTCCTCCATCGTCTCTGAACGGCGGTTGGTCATAGAGCCATGGTCAACCACTAAAATGAAAATGTTCTGCATGTAAACAGGTCTTACCCCATCTCCAAGAACTAGGCGGCCTTCAGCATCTGTATTGTTCACCTCGACAGTTCTACACCAGATTGAATAAAAAGACAAATTTAACATTGTAAGGTGACCCGAAAGTTTTCCTTTCTTTCTGACTCCTTTTTGTGTTTCACAATGTTGCTTTGGGTTTCAAAGGACAGAGAAAAACCTCAAAGAACAGCGTCACGATTGTCATGCTTTAACTTAATTATCTATTTGTGACGGCAAGCACATGTATGTGATACACAGATGGTGATGTTACAGTCTCCCTTTTTTCAAGCCTACACGTACACGTACACGTACACGTTGATTACAGCCAGTAATCAAATCCGGAAAGGTCGATTGTGAAATCAATTATTAAGTGAAATCTGTAAATCCAATTCAAAAAAGAACAAACTGGTGACTGCATCTAGTAAACGGCTTTTTACTCCCATTTGCCTCGGCCGTCGGTACTTTTGACTGAAAAAACTGTATAAAGAAGTCTAAATGCTCGTTGAACAGGTGTAGTTTTTATCATTCTCAGTGAAAAGCTTCCAAACTACGTTGGGGTCTGATGCAAGGTTCTTTACGCTTAAAGCGCATTTCGATTGAGTATTGTAAAACTAAACCGACATAGTAAAAACAGCCAATCACAGGAAAAATATCACAGTGAGCCGATGAGAAGTAAAAAAAGATACAAGAAAAATGCTTGGAGCACGGAAAAAAGCAAGTAGCCTGGTCAGAAATGAGTTAAGTTTGGCATCTTGACATCTTATTGGTTGAGAGGATGGCGAGAAATTTCTCGACCAATCACGGAGTGAAGAAAGGTGAGACCCACATTACTTTCGACCTTACAGTGGAATTGCTCTACAGTCGACACGACGTGACTCTATACACAACTTACTACCTTACTGCAATGTAATCAGTTTACGATAATCAGATGAAACTTACTTTCCTGAGTATAACGTCAAAATGTCATCAGGTCTAGTAGCGTCAGGACCAACAGCATTTTCTGCCATGCAGAACACAGCATGAAGATTCTCAGTAAAGCCCTGTGTAAGGATCATAAACTGAATCATTATTTTCATGAATTTTCAAACTTTATACATAGCCGTTGGTAAATTGTGGCATTTGGGCATTTGATATAGCACAGGAGCATCGAGAAGGAAGTTGACCGATGGCTAGAGCCACAGAGCGGGACAACGGAGGAGGGAGGGGGGTGGTGGACCAAGGTGTGCACCTCCTGTACCTCTTCCCTAGATCCGCCCATGCGAAGGGGATGTTAGAGAAGCCATGGTGGTACGACTCTCCGTTAAAGGCAGTGAGGGGTGATTCGAAAACCTGAGCGGCAACCATCAAGAGAGTCATTACTATGAAGGGCAAATGTGAAGGGAAGAAGTTTGAAGTATATAAGTTTTGGACAAAAGTTGTGGGAGACAGGAAAGTTTTTAATTACAGCAACTTACTGACCTGTTTTACTGCTGCTCTAAAAGCTCCTAGAATACCAGCTGCCCCTCCACAGTCTCTTTTCATCCCAAGCATAGAGGTCTGCAAAATGAATTAGTTTTAACTCTTTACCTCCACATATTTGATTGAATAATTCTCTTTGTGGCTACTATAAGAGGGCGATTGCACAATAGTGGTTTCCCCGCATCACTAAATGCACTCTGTGTTGGTGAAAAAGTGAAATGAACAGTCAGGTCACAAAATTAACCTTCGTAGGTTTTTTTTTTGGCGCAGAACGCGAGAAACGTGCGAAGGTTTTACGTGTGCGTTGGCCATCTACCTGGTGTCTTTGATGTTTCTTTTTTTTTTTTCGTACCTTAGCCTTGATACACAGTCCTCCGGTGTCATACACTATGCCTTTTCCACACCAGGCTATGGTCCGTGTAGCTGACATAGGTGTATGACTCAATACTACTAAGGCTGGAGGGTTCACTGCTGCTTTTCCTACTCCATACAACCCTAAAGGGAACATTAATCAGGAAAAACGAGTCTGAATCAATTGCCAACAGGAGCTTATTACAATCAGTTATTGTAGCATGAAGTGATTAGGTGTTTTGCTGCTTCAGTTGAAATGCTCATGGGATGGGATGCTAGTGTTTGCTCTTGTACCCAGCCCTCCAATATTTTCTGAGGTTCCCTGACAATTTATGAGCACCCAATTATACTCCTGGTCAGGCAAGAAGAATTGCCCTCTAGGTAATAGGAAAACACCCAGGGTGAGGCTTAAACCTAGACTTTTCAATCCAGAATGCAGTGCACTGATTCTTAGGCTACCTAAAATCCTCCTTACAAGTAATGTAAGGATAAATATTTGATATCTAATTTAGTGTGACCCCTTGGCTCCCTGGTGGACCATAGGCCATTGATGATTTCTGTTCCCCATCTGCTTCTGTCAGAGGTTACCATTTCTAGCTTGTACCATGTGTAGTTCAATCCTTTCTGACTCCATGTGTCTTCTCCATGTATTCTTGAGGGGAACTCTTTTCCTCTTTCCTTGCAGGCTCCATTTTAGTTCTTGCCTTGTGATGATTTTTTGCTGACTTCCCCCGATATCTACCATTTACATAATTGTAACATGGAGATGGCTGTTAAAAGATCCTTTGACCCCCAGCTCCATGTCCACTATTATTACGGCCTATGATATGATGGCATTCCTTAAAAGGACATCAGACTCAATACAGTACTACTTGCATTCATAGTAAAGGATTATCCCTTTACAAATATTGCAGCTCATCTTACCTCCAAAACCTTTTTGATCAAGTTCTTCTCCTTTGATCACAACAGGAACAATACCTAATTCTTCACCAACTTTAGTAATTTCCTGGACAAAAAAGGACATGAAGAGACAAAAGAAGGCAGAAAAACACATTTAGAACAAGACCTCTACAGGGTGCAGAGATGCTGGGCCATGTAACCTGATCAAATTATATTATCCTGTTCAGTTAAAAAATTCAAGAAAATCTACAATTATTTCTAAAATAAATGGTAGAAACTTTCCTGGGCTTTTCCTTTTCTGAAAATAACCTTTTTTTCCTCCTACATTAAACACCCTAGTTGTGATAAAGAATGATAACAAGACTCTATATCTGTAACTTTGTGAGGTACTAGCACTAAAACCAGTACAGAGCATTCTAGTCATTTTCTTATGGATCATTGGTTTTTAGATGTGGTGAAGATACACATATTAAGTATCAGCTCACACCTGAACAAATGCAGTGGTGTGCAAATCTCCACATGGCATATCTACCAGGCGAGCACTCAGACGGATGCTGTCTGCAACTACATTCATACAAGCTGCATCTTCACTTGAGATTGGAGAATCATTGTTGCCAACAAGAATGAACTCTACAGTTACAGTTCTTGATAACAATTTTGCAGCTTTAGAGGTCTTTCTTGAATAAGTTGGGAAAGCCCTTGAAATAGCACAAGCTGAAGCAAAAGCATCATGTCTTTCACAGACAACCTGGGAGGCAAAAAAACAAAACAAAACAAAACAAAAACAGAGGAAATATAATTAATAAAGTCTTTTACTTGTTATGCTAGTCATCAGAATAGTCTGAAATTTCCATGATAAATTATGGAGAAGTCTTCCTTAAAATGACTGTTAGTTTGGAATTTCATGACTGATCACCAGATCAGCTGCATTGTGTTTCATTTTAGGGCCCAGGTTATGAACTCTGTCAAATCTCTAAAGCCCTGAAAGGTGAGAAAAGCTATATCATGATGAAAAGAAAGTAGCAAAGTTAGGTTTACAATTACAAGAAGTACTAAAATGTTGTAAAATGCAATTGTTATGACTCAATTTTATCCTTGGTTTAAATTTTATTTTCCTTTGTTTCAAACTCATTATTATACATTACAATACTCAGGAGTAAAAGAAAATAAAATTTGAACTAAGGATAAAATTAAACGACAATATAACCATCTGCATACCACAATACAAGCATCCCCTCCAGGAAGATGGCTGCAGACAAGCTTGTTAAGGAAGTGAGGACTGGCTGAGGAGTTATGACGACTTGCTGTATTAGGAAGAGCACCAATAACCACTTGATTTAACCAAACTGGACAAGCATCTGAACCAGCCATGGTGTGAAGCACAAGGTTAAATGTCTAAAAGATAGTCCAAAAACCATGTCTTTAACCTTTAAACTACCATTACCTGATTAGCAAGTCTCTCTTAAAGCTCATTTCAGTCTTTTTATATCAATTAAGTGAGCAGGAAGTTAAAAAATGAAACAAGAGTTTCATTGACCAAGAAATGAAAGAGCAAGAAAATTTTGCAAAGTTACAGAAGATTAACCTGAAAGAGTGATCATAAAAAATTGCTCAGTTCCACATTGTTTTGAGTTAAGCCAGTGTTAGCAAACAATTTCTGACCTAGCTTTGTTGCTTTATAAAAAGTTTCAATAAATAAAAATATTTTTTCCTGCAGTTTTATCTTATGCTAAGGTAACCCCCCCAAAAAAATCTAAGCCCTAATGTACACTTTATTTCAAGAGAAATAAAGGAAAAGCTCATTTTTAATCTGAGATTATCATTAAACATACAAATTTTGCCTAGCTGGTAAATTCTGTACACTCAAATGACTCGTGAACTCTGCCAAAACACCCTTTGGGCTGATAGGTTTTTGACTTCTCGTTACTTGCTGCATGATAATTTATATATGAAGGGATATTTGAGGGGAAGGAACAGAGTATTCTCTTTAAACAGAGAGAATGACATTTGCAAGGACACAATTACTACAATCATCTTGGATAGATGTAATGGTTGAGAAAGTCCATGAAATCAAAGGGATGTATGTGAGATGGATGATTTAACAGTTATAAATCTGTTCAGCACAAGTGAAGGTTCCAAGTCATCTCTTTAGACATTTGATAGCATCTTTTCTCTGCTCAGTGTTTTTTGAACAGAATTGGTCAGTAATGCTACTGTATCAGATTTTCAGATTTGATTCATGTCTCAATTCAAAACCAAAAAGTTTGAACCTCTGAAACTGAAAATATTAGCTGTGTGAACCTCTTAGTCAAATGTTCATGGTCCAAGGAATTATTAATAATGAAAAAAAATATATATATATACATATACCATTGCAAAATCGCAACATACAATAACTAAATGAAGTCCTCATAAGTCACCCTGAACCTCTATAAATTTAACCAGCTGGAGATCAACAGACGACCTAAAGAGTTAACTGAAAATGAAATTTCTGAATACTTGGAATACAAGTTAATCGAGTACTGCAATCGGTTTGGTATGAAACTAAAAGATTCTTCTAAAAGAGCATGTGAATCACCAAATTTTAGTATCATATGTATATCATCAATAAATCCAACTGAAGGATAAATCAAAATAATATGAAAACTATCTTAGCATGTTTTTTTTAACCATTTGGTGCTCTTCGTCATTTTCCTTCGCTCTTTTTTTTAATGGTTTTAGGTTCTAGTAACAAAAGTCGTGTGATAGCGCTGCCTCAAAATTTCGCTTCCTGAATGTGGCGTTGACGACAGTTAATAAAATAATTGTATTGGATAAATGTAACCATAGAATAAACGGAGGATATTGCTCCAAGGGCATTTATTTTCCGCAATCCAGTCCAGTCGAATATTACACGAGTTATCATATTTTGTTCCGTGAAACGTTTATTTTTCGATCATCAGGAATGACCATTTGCTACATCACGATGTAACACTGATATAAACCATACGACACAATTTGAGATAAGCTGTTTGAATAAAAGCTATTCAAATTGAAAATAGAATCAATTATTGTAAACATAAATTTTAATTGAATAAAATAAAAAAAAGTGCCGTACCGCAGCGTCAACTCGTGGCGAAAGTTTTTCCGCTAAATTGTCATATGTAACAGTCTGAAGGTTTCGCGGTTTCCCGATGATCAAACATCCTTGCACTTGAGGATCAAATGAAGTTTTAGCAGCGGAGAAGATAAGTGTTGTTTCCACCATCTTTACGGTAAAATGACAAAATATTTGTAGGCCACACGAAAGGGACGCAAATCGTACCCAGCTCACACTCGGTCATTTCGCTCGGAAATTCTGGGTATATCTGGTCAAGGGCGTTTTGGAATTCTGAGTAGAATGTTTTAATACATGTACGCAATTCAAAAGCAGAAGGGAGAAGCAGTGAAAAAAACTTCCTCAAAATATCAGAATTTCATTTCGATGCAGAAAGCTACTTTTGGAAAAAGACACTCGATCTAAGAATCTTTTCTTTGTAATGCTTACCTTTGATCGTCATGCATGTTTGGCCGTTGCGTTATTTACCGGTCAGTGGTTTGTGTAAAGCCCGCGAACTCTTGGATCGATACATCCTCTTCGCTACGCAAGATTCTGGAATGATTACCGATGTAAACATGGATAGATTTTTGGTATTTCTTATAGTGCATGATGATTCCTCAGCAGATCATGAGGGTGAGATATATTTAGATTTCATTCACTGGCAACGAGCTAATATGCCAAATTTTATGCCCCAATATATCGGAAATCGTGCACATGTAATAATATGCGATCTTCTGAGCTTTTGCCAGAGCTAATTATCTACCCATCTACATATAAGCTTTTGTTGTTCACAGCTGTGCATTTATCTCTAGTTATAACAGACTAGTAATATCGAAGGTAAGGTCAGATTCCTTTAAGAAGAACGAAAAACCCATTGAAATTGGCCTCACTCCTAAAATGTGGTATCATATGGTTCCGTCAGTAGAGGTGTCTAATTAGTGTCTGGGAAACATACCTTTAATCTTAGAGGCCACAATGTTTTCAGCCTTCCTTTCTGGAATGAAATCAACCACAATTAACTTATGAAGATGAATTGATCGCTTGTAATTGTTCTTCATCAACCTGTCTGTCATCAGTTGTTAGTGGACTAGATGATGTGATAATCTGCAGCTATCTTTCATGAGATATCAGTAAAATACGTAATCATATCTTTCACAATACATGGGCTGACTATTGGTTACCTTCTGGTTGACTGTCACCAGATCTGTCTTCCATCTTCCAGCTACTAATTGTTTTATAGGTTATTTGATGGGCAAAACATCAGTCCATAAATTGACCAGGGTAATTTAGTAATATCAACTGAGTTGTTAACGTAAATTTCTCTACTGTAGAGAGTTTTAAAGGTGAAATTTCAAGTGTTAGCCCTTCATCAGAGAAAACTCTTGTTAGTGGCCAATTTACATTATCAACTCAGTTGATAGTACTAAGTTACCTTGTTATACACTTCTAAAGATGCAGCACCACAGTTTCTTTGGAAACTTACCCCTTTCATTCATTGACAAGTCATGCCTGAAGGCTACCTATGATGTACGTAATACCCTCATTGTCCTATTTCTGCATGAATGCAAAAGAACTCCATAAAAGGTTTCCCAAGGTTTCCCCAGTTCATACACAACCTTGAAGAAATAATGTTGTACCTCTCATTCTTTTGTATTAGCATGTGCCCATTGTAATGAGGATGTGGCCCCCGCTGTTCAGGGTGTGGTCGAAGATCTTATTGTGATTTGTGATAAGAATAAAAAATCTCTGAAAGATATTGAAAGTAACCAATGGACATTGATTGGTGAGTGTTATTAATGATATGGAAAAAGATTATATGATAATATGATGATTGTGTGTTGTAAAACTAAAATAGAAACAATCACAGCAACTAATGAGAGGAGAGAAAAATGTTGTAGGGTGCTGATGAGAATGTGAAATAAAAAAAAGCAATCCACCTGAAGCCTGAAAAAGGCTGAAGGCTGAGTCAGGATTGGTTAAGAGTTTTACTTTTGATTGTTTGAGAGACTAGCAAGAATTTTGTATGTGGATCAGATGCATAGAGTATACTGAAGCAAAACTAATGCAATTCTTCATTTTTTTTTCTTACTCTAATTTAAAAATTTCTCAAGGCATGACAATTACTTGTGAGTTAATTTTAGGAATTTTAATGAATGAGGCCATGATGACAGCTGGAGTCTCTCTCTTTACTTTAGATCCTCTTTTAGCTCTCAAGAACTTCAACCCCACAGTTCATTTCAGCATCATTGAGGACAGGCCATTCATAGACCAAATGGAGGTTAAGTTGATGAAAAAACAGCTTACAGACTAAAATTGCAATTGTGATCTTAAGGGTTTGGGGAAACCTTTGACATAAGGCCCAGCATTCATTTTTAAAGTGACCAGCATGGTTGGTTTGTTCTGATTAAAGGCAAGCACCCTTAGTTTAATCCAGTAACTCATTGCATCCATCGTATCCTACATACTGTTCTCTATACATTTCTTAAGTTGCTGACAGGTAGAATTTTTTCAACACTGAAGAATTTCTTTGGTTGGTTTGTTTGAAATTGTAAGATGATTTGCTTAATCAGATCTATTTCTAATCTGATGTATGTGATCTTATTGTATGGTTTTCTATGGTAGATCTGATTTATGGCTGATCTGATATGGCTTACCTTATTGTCTCTTTATTTTAGGCTTATTCAAAGTGGCATGGAGAGGAAAATCTTAAGGAAGTTTTGCTGTGGCTTGGAAAGTCTGATATGCTCAAAATTTCAGCCATAATTAGGTATCTGCCGGAGATTTTAACTTTAATTGTGCTGTATTTTCTTTGACCTTGTGACCTTGTGACCTTTATATATGGTCTAGTCTAAGAAAGGACTTACCCTATGTCTGTGGTTTGTATATTTTGTTAAACCTAACTTTCTCTGCCCTCATTCATTATCATTGTTGGATTTAGCTTTGTTACAATTGTAGTTACTGTTGCTTTTTTTTGTAAAGGAGTTCTCTAGATAAGGATGTTGAAATTTCAGAACGACTTCACAGTCTTGCTGATGGCTTACCACAAGGTACATTGACTGTTTTGGCTAGGAATAGATATGAGTTACACAAAGGCAACAAAGGAATGATAGAGTCAGTCATTCAGACAGAGAGACAGACAGAGAGGCAGACAGACAGACAGACAGACTGATATACAGGCACTGATAGACAGGTAGATAGACAGAGAGATAGACAGTGAGCAAAATTAAAGAATGAATGGGACAAGAACAAGAAGAACATTGGTTGTGTTGTGAATAAAAAGCTAAATTATGTGGAAAAGTGGTGCTAATTTTTTAGTTAGCATGATTGATGTGTACTCAGTAGACACAAAAGGACTCGTGGGGTTTTACACTGTACAACGGTTTTGTTTTTTAAATGGTTTCTTTTGTGGTATTTTAGCTGGGGTCCCTGTTGATGTCTTCTGGTTTATTTGTGGGAGAGATGCCCTCCCTGTCAGGTAATGTATATTGTCTACTATAACTACATTTGTGTACTACTGCAACTCTTATTAATGATGTGAATTGCATCATTCCCAGTGCTAGCTAAAAAGTTGTGAAGCAGCTTTGTTATTGTAGTGGGTCACTGACTTTGCAGCAAGCCAAATAATTCTTAGCCGCCTGAGATCATAAGGTAAATGGTTACTTTACAGATAGATTGCAACATTTACTTCTCACAACTCTCCTTAGTAATTATTTAATGATAAGATTAACTTGTAATCAGATACTGGATTTCATAGTAAAACTTAGTGCTGTATGCTGAATACGTTCTTTTCATCAAAGTCTTCGAAATGTATGTTATTATTTTATGCTTCAGATCCCATATGCATCTGTTTGGAGCTTTAAAGCGACTTCAACTGTGGCACAATGCCAACATTACTGTTCTTCATAGCAACAAGTTTGACATGTAAGTTTCTCTTTCTATTTTGCTCATATCTGTGGATATGATTCAGTTTCATTTTGGCATCTAATTAATTAAGAGGGTGACACTAGCTTTATAGATCAATGAATGGAAAAAAGCAATCTAAGGAAAACCAATGTATTCTGGAATTTATACACTTGTCATTCAATTGAAAACTGTTTGCAGGAACTGAGACTGTGCAGGGTTCTCTTTTTAAAGGAACTCAACAAAGGTTGTTACTTCATACTCTGTGTGTAGTAACGAAATTAATGTAAAATGATGAATTTGTTTATTTTTGAAGGAGCTCATTTTTGACGTCGTGGCAAAAGGGTCTGAAGTTGTCCGTCACACCTCTCAACAAAAGTGATGTATTGTCCAAAATATTTAGTGGTGCTGTTGTTTGGCAAGGTTCTTTGGTCTTCAATGAGGTACATTGTTTTGTAATTAGTTTTCTGCGTGGACTGGTTTTTTTTTAACATGCCATACTCTCTTCATCTCAGTTTTTATTTAACAGTTTTCTTTTCCATGTTCATGTTTTTAGTTCTTATCTTTCATGATTACGCTAGAATCAATCAAGAACCATCATACCAGGATTCAATTTGAGTTGTTATAGGAGCGAGACCGAAATTAACTTTGGTTCTTCCCGAATTCAGCCAAAAAGGTTTGAGTACTCTCCATTTATTGCTTAGTGATTAAATTTCAAGGCCATTTGTTTGGATTTCTTTGTGCTAGTCATTTTTAGACCCATAAATTTGCCTGTCAGCCGGTACTCCGTGATTAGTAGTATTTTTCGGTTTGTGCGTCCATGCTCTTATGCGTTCGTGCGTTCTTGCGGTCGTACGTGCTTTCGTTTGTTAGTACGTGTGTTCGTTCGCTCGTACGTTTGTGCGGGCGTTCTTGCGTTCGTGCGTTCGTGCGTTTGTGCATCCTGAAGTTCGTACACTCGTAGGTTCGTGCGTTCGTTTTTCTTACGTTCATGTTTTCGTTCGCTCGCTCGTTCTTTCGTTTAATTATTTCTGTTATATTTTGTCTCCTTGTTCATAGGAAGAAGAAAAATCCCATGAATATTGGGAAACGTCTCTGCATTGCACCAGATATAACTATTCTCTGTAGAGTTCAGAAGCATACAGTTCCATTTCACATGTTTCTGCCAGTAAGACTGGGATTGTATCCTTTATTTCATCAAATTGCAGTCAAATGTAGTGCAAATTTTAACTTTGCCATTTTTCTCCCTTCACATCCAAGCCTTAGATAGGGAGTAACTTTTGATTTGTCACTGCTTAAATAACCTGTATTTGATCTCCATCTCCAAAGGCCGTGGAAATACTAAAACTAAAAACTGACTTAAAATTCCCTTATTGTTCGGTGATCATGATCTCATTCGGAAAATGGAATGAGTTCTGATGAAAATTTGACAAAAATGTTGACTTCACCTCATGTTATGTGATTTTGAGAACTTCCAGGTTTTTCCTTTACTGGTTTGTTTTGTTGGTTGCGCATGCAGAAGCGTCAACCAATCTTCTACTAAGCTATCAGTAAGACTTGTGGAATGGCTATCATTTGAAGAAAATAAGGTTTGTATCATTGTTTGGCAATAATCGTACCGATATAACGTCGTCACGATGCGCTCACTGTGCGCTATGTACTGATGAAAAGAGCAAAGAGTTGTCGTTGACTTCCTTTCTGCAATCACAGGCCATCTTGCCAATCTGATTAGCTCTCAGCAATGCGATTTATTGACGAATCGCACTATTTTTTGCTCTTACGGCCAAAAATCTGTATTAAAACGACAAATTGTGCGATTTCAAATTGGATATAATTAAGTGGCAATTTATCTTTGCGTCGTACAATTTTGGTCCAAAGTTATAGCTGTAATTTCAAATCGGACTCGCACTTACTTGCATTCTTTTTAGAAACACGACTCCAAGCAATACATACAGATAAAAACTTTCCTTTTTTTCAGAATATTGCCTTAGTTGGATCATTACAGCTTGTTACGTCGTACAAACACTGCACACAAAGAAAGAATAGAGAAGCTTGGTTTAACTATGTCAAATCTCAGAACCCTACAGGTATGTCTTTAAGCATAGAAAACGTACCACCAAAAGTAGACACACCGGTTGATTTTCACCTGGAAGTTTATCTCAGCCAGCCAATGGGAGTTCAGTATGTATCAATTTAATATACCTTAAGCGTGGGAAAACGCGTTTGACCGAGCAAAACACATGCAGCATTTTAAGACAACATCTTGCAACATTGTTAGATCGTGTTGTCAAGAGCTAGCCACACGTGCGCAACATCATGCAACTCCCAAAACTATTGCAACAAAAAATTGACCATTTTCAAACTAGATTCCACACCATCTGATATCTGGTAACATGTGTGCCATTTACATATACGCCAAACGCGTATAAAACGTTGTGCGCAATATGTAAGATGTTGGGTTGAAATAATGCGTGTGTTTGACCAGGCCTTCCGTCTTCTATTTGACTGGTCTCAAGGTTGGCCCATGTTTTATCGACCTGTAACTGAGCACAGTGAAGCAAACTAATGCAATCCTCGATTACTTTCGACTCTTTATCTCAAATACCCTTGAAGGAACTGTGCGCCACTCAGAAAGACACCAACCACCAGTCTGAATCCACTGCTTTTTCTGTATTAGCTTCAGTTACCAACAGACTTGATGGTAATACTGGAGATGAAGATCTGACAGAGTCTTGCAGGCGGTTGTGTCTCGTATGCGGTTCTGCTGAAAAAGAATTGAGTTTATATGTTCTGAGAAGACCAGAAGATCTAAATGGCTGGATCCATAAGGAGCTGTCCTCAATCCAATCTTCATTCCTCATCTCTAATGATCAAAAGGGTAAGATATGTGGAAACATGTCCTTCAAGTACCTAGAATAATTTGAAGTAACAGTTGTTCTTTGTTTGTTGGTTTTTGTGGCTTAACTTTTGTTGGAAACATCGCAAAACAGAATCAACGTGTTTTGCCTCTCTTTCATTTTGTGTAGCTTAGGAACCATATTGTGTTCTTTTTTTGTGCCGTGCAGAACGAAATTCAGAATATTATTTTTGAAACAGAGGAAATAAACCGAGAAGGATCTAGGATGGTTCACCTGAGTGTTGATGGACCCTGAGTGTTGGTCTGGTCTAAGGATTGAACTCTCGGCTTTCCGCACGGTAGTCCTGTGCTCTTAGAACGAGCTAACGTACTAACTTGCTCCACTCGCGTTTTCTTTTACTTCCAATTAATTAGAAGAGAGACTCTTTCCCAGAGTGAATACTAATTTAAGTGGCTTTTGTTGTATCAATTTCATCTTTTTTGTAGTTGGCGGGCCCTTAAAATTTCCAGAACTGTCAGAGAGTTTCATTGAAACGGAACAAAACTTGACTGAAGTTCTCTTGCAAGAGCTGCAAAAGGAGTTGCGTAAGTGTCTGAAGGGTCAGGCCTCGCAAAGCAGAATAGAGCGAAGAATGTGCTGCCTCAAATCTTCTTCATGAGAGCGCCTAAAAGTTAGAGCTTACTCTCACTTTAGCCTTTATAAAAAGGGTCACGTAGGACTGTGATAAATTGAAGTCCTTTATCTCCGACGGTCTTTTTAGGGAGCTATCATCAAGTAATCCGCTGATAAGATCATCCCTCGACCAGTGAGTGGAAGTTTATGTTTCAGGTTTAAAGTGATCGCAAACTTCCTTGATTTGTAATTTTCGTTATGTCGGTACCCCTGTTATTTTCTTGGAACAACGGAATAACCAAATCAAACTGGTGTGAAATAATTTTGACGTGAAATTCATTTTAAACGAAAACATATAATAACATTTATTCTTTTTTTTGGCAGAAAATTCAGATGATCTGTTTTCGACTCACTCAGGGTGTAACATCGTTGATAAAACAACTTCGACTAAGCGGCAGTTCTTAAAGGAGAAAAGGTAACCGATGTATTAGTGTAGATAACATTATGTTTAAAAGGTGACTGTACCATGCGATACTCTCACCTGCGCAGCTGAGATATTCGAGTCTCGTCTTGTCTTCCTACACTGGCTACACATGCAGCTGTAATTTGAAGCTGTCATGCCACATTCCTTCATCAAGGGCTTCGTGTAGTCCTTTTCCAAACAAGTTGCCTTAAAACTCTAGTTCTGTCTTATCTCTGTTTGACAGTTTTCCTTAATTGGATTCCAATTCGAAATGCTAATTTGAGCCCAAAGTCTATCTAAAGTATTTGGATTTGCATCCTTTGCCCCTCAATTTATGTGATACATGATCACTGCAAAGCAAGAAGAAGTAAGCCATAATTTATTTCGACCAGTTATCTAGTTAGGTCAACAAGGTTATTATGTTGTGGTATTGCAGACTGGGTTGGAAAGAACATGAACTGGAACCTGTCGATAGAAATGTTTTGCCTCTAGACGTCTCAGGTGAAAAGTGACTTCATTTGTTTCCGTCGCTCAAAATGTGGTGTTTAGTTCTGACAAGAGAGGATGAAGCTATGAGACTGAACTCCTCGCGTAAGCGTTATTCGCAGGGTTACCCTCTCAAGTTATTTTAGACCAATGTTTTTTTTGCGAGTTTCGTGAAGGTTTCTGACGCAAAAACGCCACATGTGATATCCGCGTAAGCGGGATTTATAACAAGGGATTGGGGACTAAAAGGACTAAATTCTTATTGGGTCTCCTAAAAAAGAGGTAATCTGTACTGAATTAAACAATATTCCTTGAGGAGTAAGGTCTTTTATGGAGGATTTAGTCTTAGCTTGATCGTTTCTCGGTTATTGCTTGAGCGTGCACTTTCCAAGGGCATAGCTAACATTTTTCAAACGACGGGAGGGACCACACTATGAAACACTCAGACTACTCATACCTTACTGTCATGTCAACATCCACCCTGTGTTTCACTAAACCAGCTTAAAGCTTTGTTTGCTGATTTGTATGAATCTGAATGTTTTGTTTTATTCTTGTCGTGGGAAATTGGCTTGCTCTCAATAGTTGTCATCATATTTTTGTGTCACTTTCATAGAATTATCGTTGTCTCCAAGCAAATGGCCTGAGAGAGCTTGGCTTGTCAAAAATGATCCGAATGCAAGGTAACTTTAATGAAAATTATATCATACAATGTACATCTTACTGGCAACTCATCCTTGCCGTTCTTACCGTTCTTACCGATTTTGGACTTTTTTTTTAATTTAAAGATGTATATGGTGTCTGGAGCGTATTTCTCTTTCAACAGCTTTTCACAATAATTTTGATGTACCCTCGTCAAGAGACTTTATCCTATGTTTGTGTCATTGTATAGGGTAAACGATTCCGTCGCGGACGAGTCAACTAAAAATTATCCGTTGTTAGCATCAGGTAGGTCATTATTGTGGCCTTGTCTCTCTTACCCTTAACTAAAATTGTGTGAGTGCGATCACCGTAGAGTCTCTGTGGCTCAGTGGTAGAGCATCGGAGCGCGGAATCCGAAGGTCTGAGGTTCGATTCCTCATGGAGATTGTTTTCTTTGTCCCACGCTCGTGAAAAGACGAAAAACATCTTTCTCTATCTATAAGAGCTTTTAAGAATATCAGGGAACAATAATAACTTTAATTTGAACGTAATGCTAAGAAAAGTTGCAAGATTAATCAAAAATCATTTCAATCGTTAGACTGTTTAAAGCTGCTTTCACCCGATTGCATGAAGAAGTGCGTGCAAACGATATATTTCATTTTTTTGTGTTTTTAACTTATTTTTACCAGTTGAATTTTCCTAACACGCTCGTCCACCTTGACACTTCTTTTACACATTTTCCTATTACTTTTCTCATGTGGTTTTTAGTGTCATCGCTGAGCATTTCAGACATTTTGGAGAAGTTTCGTAGGGATGGAACCCCCGCGAGAAGTGATCTTGTTCGTCTTGAGCCCAGGGTAAGACGATAAGATAACATAGGGAGTGTTAAAAATACCTCGACGCGAATGGCAAATAGAAATATATGTGCTGTCTGCCCCTTAGCCGTTTGTGATATGGAAAAATGAGCATTTTTTGTAAATTAGAGATATTTGTGACTTTTTTTCGTGTGTGCGATGCTAAAGAATTAAAGCAAAAACAATGGCAACCTAATACCTCTAGCGCTTCATCCTTCAACTGCAGAGGGAAAAGCCCTGAAATCAAGGTTAACGTGCTAAGTTAATGAAATGGCATCTCAACGTAAATTGGAAAGGCAACGTTCAGCTATGCGGCATGACTTACCGCCATGGAAGGGCTGTGTTGCCCCATTGTTATCAATTCTCTCTTCTGCAGTTAACTAATCTAATTAATGTAAATTTCAATAACAATTGTTACAACTCTGTGTATTAGGAGCAGAGCTCAAGTGGTAGGCACGTCCAAATAGAAAGAGGAAGTAAGTCTTTGCAACGTGTTTAGTTCGTTTGTTATTTTGTTTTTTCGTGTAATCGTTTTACCTTATTGGGCTGTCTTTGACTAAGAAGTGTCTATTTAATGCATATTTCGATTGAGTGACGTTAAAACTAAAACCAAAGTGATCACAACAGCCAATCAGAACGAAGGAAATTATCACAAGTAGCCAATGAAACTCAAAGTTTGAACATGCGAATTTTCTAAAGCACGGGATTAAGACGCGATTAGTGTTAGTTTTGAATCTGATTGGTGGAAAATGTGACGGGAGTTTCGATGACCAATCACAAAGCAAAGTAAAGCCAAAGCAAAACCAAAACAATCCCGGATTACGTTCGACGCTTAATCGAAACTGCCGCCCCACAGTTGAAGTAGCAATTCCGCTTTATGGATTATCAAGTCCATCGCTCATGATCGTCAGTTCTTTGAAGGGATAAACGCCTTAATGGTGTTGTGCGCGAACAGAACAGGATACAGTCGTATTGTGTCGCCCGCAGTTCCCGCATATGTGATGGGAAAGCAATTACATGTGAACAGCGGTAGAGTTTCTTTCCCTTCGTAAGAAAGCGTCAAATGAAAAGGGTCCGCCTGAAGAGGGAAAGATGGATTTCTACACAATGAACGAGAAGGTAGCATTGTGGTAATTGATTAAATTTCACATGTGTTCCACAGGTATTGAAGAAGTGAGGGGAAAATGTTACCCAGAAGCCCTTGAGGCATCATACCACGGCATTGAGTAGGTTTCCTTAACCTTTTTACCTCTAAGAGTGACTAGCATCTAATTTCTCCCTACAATATCACTCCTGAATCAAACATTAAGGTCATGAGAATAAAGAGAATGATCACCAACTAGAGGAGTTCTTGATCGTTGGACGAATTCTCCTTATCAGCACCATGAGAAATGTATGGAGAACAGTATGGAGAATATGTAAACTGATGGTTAAACAAATTCTCCTTGTCAGTGACTTAGGAAATGTATGGAGAACAGTATGGAGAATATGTAAACTGATGGTTAAACAAATTCTCCTTGTCGGCACCATGAGAAATGTATGGAGAACAGTATGGAGAATATGTAAACTGATGGTTAAACAAATTCTCCTCGTCAGCACCATGAGAAATGTATAGAGAACAGTATGGAGAATATGTATACTGATGGTTAAACAAATTCTCCTTGTCGGCACCATGAGAAATGTATGGAGAACAGTATGGAGAATATGTAAACTGATGGTTAAACAAATTCTCCTCGTCAGCACCATGAGAAATGTATAGAGAACAGTATGGAGAATATGTATACTGATGTTAGGGGGTAAAAAGGTTAGACACAGCATTGAAGGAAAAATTCGATTGAACGGAGAAGGCCATTGCAACGACCAGGTTGCAGTTTTTGTAAATGTCTTGAGCATTTGTCCGTTTCAACATATTTTGAAGCTTAGAGATAAAATAACTTTCTTTGTTATTGTAATTGTTGTTAACGTTTGATTTCCGGATGCAGTATTTCGATCGATCTTCTCTCGAAGGCATCCCTGTTTTTTTATATGAAATTATTCCAGTGAAGAGAATCCAGCTGATCTTGCTTTTATTTTTGTAACATGTTCATGCCAGATATTGCCTGGATGTCCGTGAAGCCATTTCTAAAGACCTGCAGCTTTCACGTCTTCAGTCCTCGCTCGTGAAAAACGAGACATTATCATCGTGTGTGCTAACAGAACACAAGACACGGGAAACCCGCTGCACTCGTGCTGTTACCAATGCAGCGAAGAAGGGCAGCAAAGCTAGTTTGGCGAAGCTCACTGTACCTCTGAGTCGAACAGCGACTATAAGAAATGGAAAGAAACCTGCTGCTTTGATTGGAAGGTTAGATCATGGTCTTTAAGAGGTGCTATGATCTATTGGGTGACAGACGCGTAGATGACGTAACCACTAACACTTTTTATGCTTCTTTGTCATATGAAACGAATAGATTCCGTGTTGCCGTGGGTTTGTTCAGTGACATCACAGAATACGTCAAAATGTGGTAATAACATTCAGTGACACACTCGCCTGTTCTTCGTGTGCCTCTTGTTTTTACTACATTTTTAACGTCATCTGTGATCTACTAATGGATAGACGTGCGAGAACATGGAATATATTTGATAAATAAAGTGCGTGCTGAACTAATCGTTATGGTTTTGAATCAGCTTTGTTTGTTCCCGCTTCATTCTAGTTCCTCGAGGTCACTGAAGAAGAAGTCACCAGTCATTGTAAAAGCGCCAACAGTTGCAAAGAAAAGAAAAAGGGAGGATGCAAATGTGGAGGGTATTTTGTTAAGTCTTCAATTCATCCAGCCTTAAGTCTCTCTACTATCTTATTGTCTGGTCATCAAAGGTTCAACGACTCTCCCTCCAACGGCTCCGTTTAGGTATCAAAGCTGCAATAATTTCAACATTACGTTGGAGGAAAGGAGAGACAGAATAAAAAATTTCCGAAGAATCATGAATTTTAAATATAGATGTTTCTTTCCGTCCAAGGACTTTTGGTCATGATTGGGGTTAACATGATTTTTTTGTCACTCGAGGCGCAAAGGGTTAATAAAAATGTGAAAAAACAGCGGAAACAACAGCGGAGGGGGGGGGGAGGGGAGGGGAGGGGAGGGGGTAAGTAGTATTATTGTTTCTCACATTGCGTTGCTTCGTATGTATTTTATTGTTAATTTCTTCCTCTCCGTTTTTGTTCTGTAGAGGGTAAAGCCAGTGACGAAAATGATGTCAAGAAGAAAGAAACTCGTTCAGAGAGACATAAGAGAGTAAGTAAAAAAATAAAATAAGGTTCACGTGGGGAATTTGAAGTCAGCATTGATAAACTGAATAATATTCCTGTCTCCGTTGTGACGCATCATCCTCTGGTATACTGAGAGACTCAGAACGGACGCCAGTTTTGAATAAGGAGCGGTTCAAATGTCATCTAAATTTCCCTCCTTGTTTTATTTTTTCTCTTCTCTTTTTTCTTTCTTCTTTATCTCGCGATTTTTTTGCGTCTAGCCTTAGGAACTACTGAGTCGAAATCCGCTACATACTCAAAAAATTGTCATCCTCAGTAGAACCCCGCTCCCAAGAAAAATGAAATGTTATAAAAGTAACCATAGAAGAAAAAAAAAGATATTTTGACCTTTTGGTTGTGCTTCTTTTGTAGCGCCTCCGGCAAGTTGTCCAAAATACGCTTGAAGGCAACGGAATCGATTCTAGTCACCCATTCTACGAATCATGTACAGGAAGATTATATTCCCTGTGTAAAAGTTTCCTCAAGGTAAGGCATACCGATGGTAAGGAAAAAAGGTTTGCTAAAGGTACACACCGATTTATCCTTTATTACACATGTGGACAGTAATAAGGCTTCAACTTTCTGTTAACAACAGAATTGTAACCTGCCAAAAAAGCCATGCAAGTCAATTGTTAGAGAAGTTACTTTGGTTTTGGTTGTACGACACTACTTCGAATAGTGCTCTAAGCGAAGATTGGAGGGGGGAGGGGGTGTTCCTCATAGGCTGTTGTGTTGCTATGATAACCTTCATGCACCCCCTCTCCAAAAAAAAAAAAGCAAAACAAAACAAAAAAGTACTCAATACTAGTTGAGTCATAATTGAACATTTGCACGTTACAATTTATAGATAAGGAGCGAAGAAGTATAGAGGGTCGACTTTTCAAATGATTAATTTTCAAAGAAAAGAAACTGCGTTGATCCTCATCAAAGGATTTTTTATTCGTACAGGATCTCCGTTCGTCTCATGGTCTAAACGACGAAATGAAAAGACTAGCCAAGAGTAACGTCCAACAGGTATTAACATAGAAGGGAACATTCATTTATTTAAATGCCCGCAATGTGAGCTTAGTCTTCACAGTCGGGCGCAGACAGTTACCAGTTTTGTATGAGCTTCAGTGTAGCTTTACTTGAGTTCCAGCGCAATCCTTAAAACATTTGATTTCCTTTGAGCAAGCAATTCTGAAACACTTGTTGGGAACGCCCTGGTGAGGAAATTGAGCACCTTTGGGAAATAAATTTCTGGAGGTAATTTTATATCGCATTGGCGAAACCAGTTTGGACGCGCAATCTGGGACACCTTAGATGCCTTGTTCGGAATTTATTCCAAGATGGCACCTTGTGTTCCTCTTTGGGATCGTCTTTCGGGAGGACGCTCTGAGAACGACATTCGAAACACTTCAGTAAAGTATTTCGGGCAGAAATTGGGGAGTCTCTTTCGGAAAGGATATAAGGATAATCTTCATTCAAGCATTCTCTTTGTTCAAATTTAATTTTTTTTTTCTTTTGTCAGGTGATAGACTTTGAAACGAAAAGGAAATCAGCAGCGCAAACGACTTGATAAAGAAACAGCTGTTGAATTATTGCTTTATTTTGCTACTGTTCAGTTTACACCATTGATCACAAAAAAATTAATAAAAAATGTTTGTTCCAATGTATTAATTCTGTGTCAATAAAATAAGCCTATTGTCTCGTAACTTTTTTAAAGTTAATAATGAGATGTCTTGATCTTCTATAAATACAAAACAGTGGCACTTCCTACCAAATCCTTATATTTGCTGATGTATGTAACGAAGACAACAAAAAAATTTTCCTTCTTAAGTTTCCATTCGTAAGTTCCTTTTCGTGTAAAGGGAACTTACATTAAAACACGACTCATCTTACATACAGTGAATTAAAATTTTCCCATGTGGCGTTCCATGCGAAAACTCTTATTTTTCATCTTTTACTAGGCAAAACACGACGAGACCCTTGACATTTGGAAAAAAGTTGACATAAAGGATTCAGTATTTCGATGTGCCCCTTTGTTTATTCCCCAACACGAAGTTGGTTTCTCATCGGCAATATCAACACCTTGAGAATGATACATTTTCGCTCTGTTGGCATATTAGAAAGAATTCGACCTTCCGCGTGTCGGAAGGTTGCCATGTCATGTAAGGCGAAAGTCGCCTTATCTGCCTTGGGCCCCAATTGGTCCAACCAAACCTTTGTTACAGGACACTTGTGGGGCCTTCATCCATTAGCTCACATAGCAGTTCGATGATACACACGCGTTCCCTTTCAGGAGTTTGTTGACGACGGCCCTTGTCAGGTAAGTCGTGGTGCCTCCTTGTCCGTCACGTGGTGTGTTGTAAAATTGGTCTCTGGTTTTCTTCGCATTTCGCAGTAAGAGGGCGAATAAAATTGTGTGAAATACAATTCAAATTCTAAAATTTCATTGAATTCGAAGGATACAGTAAGAAGTAGTTAAAAAACAGATTAATTTGTATTAAATCCAACTTACCTGATCATTTTCTGAACCCAATTCACTCGCAAAAAGTTCAAGAGCTTCGTCCACAAGCTGTGTGAAAAAATAAGATAGGTCACATGGGAATATGTAAATATATCCAAACAAGAGATTGTAGGGGATTCTTAAACTTACATATATATCGTCAAGTCCCGACTGGAATATTCAATACATCAAACAAGAGAGACTGAATTATTTGATTTCAAGACACTTTCAAGCTCGTGAAAATAATCTACTACTGTTGGTATTTACTAGTATTAAGCAATTAATTCGCTAAATGTATATTTTCGTTCGTTTGAATGGTTCTTTCATCTCATTTCTCTTTCATTTATGTTCGTTCTCTTCGGTTCAAATCGCGACTCTAACTAAGACAGGTTACCTCGTCTAAATTGATGCACTGACTCAACTCCACCTCAGGGTTTCGTTCAAGAATTGTAGCAAGCACGACAAGTAGCTGAAGAGAGAAATGACTGCAAATGAGCTCAATACCAAAACGTGCACTTTAAATTTCATTTACCATTAACAACTCCCGATGTAATAGTGCTTAGTCTTACGGACCTCGTGGCCTATTGCTGCCTGAGTTTATCCCGGTTTTTAGCAGAATGCGGCTGGAAGAATTATTTTCCTTCTCGGACAAGTTGTTGAGACCACCGCACAGTGCCACCCCACCCTAACAGTTCATTAAGTTTCCCTGGCAGCGTTCTGGTGCCCATCTATACTTCTTGGTGGGAAGGGACACTCTGTGAGTTACGAGAGATACAAAAGAGCATGCACTAAATAATTATCCGGCTAGGACTCGTACCCAGACCTATCAACCTGGAGTCCAACTTATTCACTAATAGAAGTTACCGTATATCCCTCAATTGAAGTATGAATATAAAAAATGATACCTCCACGACTGTCTGTCTGTATTCCGGGTTTGATATGTCGCTCAAAAGTTCTTCCACCTTCAGCTGAAAATTCCTTTCACGTTTAGTCATATCTGATATTGTGGGAAGCTGCAAGACAAATTTATACGGGAAAAGGTCAGCGGTATCCTGTACTTTCCTTAATGAACCAATGGGTAAACACCCTCAACCTCATTTGATTTGAAAAAAAAACGTTGTCACCTTGAATATTTGACCCGAAAACAGTTTCGCACATCAACCATGACTGCGATTTACTTTTCTCACTTTTACTGCCAAAAGGATAATTTTTCTAATTGACATTATTTTCTTAAAGGGATCGAAAGCTTGCCAGGAAAGTTTCCATCATTCACCGTAAGTAACAAGCTGTTGCCAACGTCCATCGCAAGAGAGCAGAACATTTTGAAGAGAAAGTTAGTACACTAACATCAATACCAATAAAGCCCCTGGTTTACGGCCGTTTTGTTAAGATTGTTTCGCAATAGAATGAATACATGGTAAATGTCAAATTCCTTTAGGACGCGTGCCAATACTTTCATTTTTGGTTTTTGGTGAGTTTCTGTATGTTTCTGATGTAACAGCACAAGTGAATGTGTCCATAGCTTGTGCCAAACTCTCCTTAGGTGGAAAAACGAAAGAAGAGAGTCACTCACTTGTAATAAGGTATGGTTAGACACTTTGATTCCCTCGGGAGCCTTGAACAGTATACTCCATACTAGATAGCGAAAAATATCTTCATTAGTCATTTTATATTTTTCCAGATACAATAATAAACATATATAATTTTTTTATCAACCTTACTAAAAGATGTCGAAAAGCGGAAGTCGAAGCGAACAAAAATTTACACTTCTATTGAGTTCTTACCTTTGTCATAAAACCCAGGTGGTACTCGATGCACGGCACCATCCAGCTGACGATTCTGTAAGGGAGTCCTATAACAAATAAGAGAAATAAAGTCATCACATTCACCTGATGGCTCGCGCCGGATCTTAACTCAAATTACATGGCACACTGAGAAAAGCTCCGTTCTCGGGAACACAACACAATGACATCGGCGAAAGCTCAAATCCGAATCTTTAGTTCCGAAGCGAAAACCGCTCGATCGGTTTCTTTTTCATTAATAAAAGATAGAGAAGCGGCCCAGATTATATAATAATTGAGAGATGTTGAAAGTTATGAGGAGACATACCTCGGTGCAATGTCTTGTCCGTGGAGTTTTCCTTTAGAAGTAAGGACAATCTTGAGCAGTTCCTTCACATCGCTTGGAGATTTAGCGTACAGAGACTGAAAACCAAAGAGAACATATTTGAACCATTACAACTGGAAAAAAGCTTTTCTGAACAATAAGTGTAACAAGTTTAAGGTGAAGGAAGCTATTAAGCCAAGAGACATCCTGCAACGGATACATCGCTATCCAACAGATGCGTTGACAAAACCTACGGCAATATCCATCCATCGGATAGATATTCATCCAGCGAATGTCCACCCTTTGAACAGGAAGTTACCCTGGTATCAGTAGCAAGAAGCGACTGAGAGAAGTACTTTTCCCCTTCCCCCGCCCTCTCACAACCCCCAGGACGATGCCAGTCCATACAAGGTTTCGGTAACCATGAGTACCTCAGGCTGAAAAGAAGTACTGTGAGAGTAAAGACTTTGTCCACAAAGAAAACACAATAATTTGGGAAGGGCTTGAATCAAAACCCTTTCGAGCAGGAGTCCAAAGTAATAACCTCCAAGCAAAGGAAAAACGTTTCTTCACAATGGACCCAAAGCTAATTCAATCAACAGTAATCATTCTTACCCCAAGTCCTCTGCTGGCTAACCTTTGTTTCATTGCTTCGATAATCCAACTGAGGATGACAAGGAAAGTTATTTCAAAAACAGGTTGATGTTGCTAAATTTGTACTCTATTAACTCACCAAATAGTTGAAAGAATCGCTGAAGACTTATGTGTAGACAAAGGAAAGTCGAGTCGAAAGATTAGGTATCTTTTACATCAAAACAGAGATGACACAAGAACACGCCGTGAATACACAGGTCACAGATACGGCAAGGACACAACCACAACGTGATATACTAAGTTTACACGATGTCTCAAACCCTATGTTTACAGAAGTGAATTCCACAAAACCAACACCTTGAAATGCTGATACCTTATCCAGTAAAAGGTATAACAGATGAAAAGGAGAATTTTGATATAGATCCTAGGCGTTATGGAGTTAACAAAGTTACTGGAAAATCAGGTTGTCTTCTGTAATACATGCTACTTAGCGTTTGAATTACTTTTTCTGCAGCACAGGGAAAATAAAGTTACCTACCCTATTCTTATCTTTAACATGCCTTCAAAAACATTCGGCATAGTGGCTACAAATGCAGCCAAATAGAGAACCATCTGAAGGAAGAACAAACTATATGAATAAAGAAAAAATTTCACATCCCCCAACTCACAATCAGGTACAAAAGTCGAACCGACATCATTCCCATCCCCTTTCGTTAGCTCAACGAACCAAAGAAAGACATTGCTCTGTTCTGAAAACGTAATTCGTAGGTGGTGAAAGGAAGGGATCTAAACACAACCATGACGAGGTTGTTTCAATAATTTATCAATGATTGTAGTTCCATGGCACACTCTCAACTTTGCAAGAGATGTGAACCCTGGAAACGAAACAACTTGCTTCCCGCTGACCTCTTGCTGTAGTACTGCCTCTCTGACATCATGAGGAGAACAGAAGGAATACAAGATTTTCTGTTGAAAAGAGAAGAGAGAGAACTCCTTACATCAGCTAATAAGGCATTTTGTTGTAAGAAGTGGAAATTTAACCTCTACTGTTGAGAATCCCCACAAACTATCTTAGTGTTGTTACGCAGGCACCCCCAAGGTAGTTGCTTCTCTAGGCCGGAATTACGCTGAATTAGCAATTTTTTCTCACTATCGATAGCCTACTTTCAGTAAAAATGGAGGATGGAGGATGGTCTACTAAATTCTGAGCCAATTGTTTACCTGAATAGCTGCAGGTGTGAGTGGTTCGTATATGACTTTCTCCTCGTGTCCGAACACACCGATGGTCACCTGGCGTGAACGAGATAAAAAGAAAATTAGCACAAAATGAAGACAACCATGTCATTTTCCTTCGGGAGCAAGCAACCTTA